TAAAGGCGTAAAGCTAGATAACAGCCAAGCGATACGGGAGGGTTGATGAAATTGTCGAATAACAGCTGATCGATAATGTATTCAAGGGCAAATTATATGAAATTCTGATTAATCTGATCGACAATTAATTCTGCTGTCTGACTTGCGAAGAATGACATCGTCTCTTTTTTAAAAACTTATATTTAAAATTACTTACCACTTACGTTATTATCTGTTTTATGTTCTGTCTTGCTAATACAAAGAGGATTACTGATTTATTTGTTACCGTTGTGCAACAGATTACATAAACCGCGAATCGCTGTTGGCAATTTTGCCGACTGATTATCGATTAGCTTAATTAGAATTTGTCGAAAGCCGCTCTAATAAATAGTACACTCTATTGAATTATATACCGTAAAACAAAAAAGTTCGGAAACCCACTGATAAGGAATTCAAAAATAAAACATCAAAAGAGATCAGTATTTATTATTATTAAACAGAAAGAAGGTTAATTAAAAGATCGCTACGTGTTTGGAGCGTTGCTTCTTCCTTCGAGTAAGAAATAAATTGAAACAATGTTAATTTCTCCGCGAAGATATTCTTTTTCAAATAAAATACTGTGTTCTGATAATTAATTAATTTTTGCCATTTGGGACGCGCTACATGGGTTTCGCTGATTTCATTAATAATTATTCCATTAAGTGACATCCCGTCCAAATGCATTCTGTATATACCTCTTCCCCATTGTATCTCGTCTCATTCGGAAGATTCCTCCAAGTCCCTTCTCTTCCTTCCCAATTTCATTAGATTGGAGTAAGCTAAGCAGCCCTTCGGTTTCGAGTCGCACAGCTGGCGATAGGTTTCTCGTGAGCGAAACGCTTCCAGCGTTTTATCGGCGGGCAAGCGTAGTCGAATCGTAGAGTATTTTTCGCCTCGAAAAGACACTCGAATCGCAATCAGGCGGGCGTTTGTACACAGAAAAGGGATGATTGTGCATATTGTGTGTCAAAATGATTGAATCGGCGGCGGAAAAAAAAGCTCGTCGAGAGTCGTTCATTTGCAAGCTACGAGCGCAATGATGCACGTATAAGTCGCGAAGGATCCGCAGCGCGATTCGCATCGTTATATCTCGGACATCTTGAATACCATACCACACCTCGCTGAGCCAGGAAAAGGAAGAGAGGGAGGGAGAGAGAGAGAGAGAAAGCTTGGTGAAACTTTGGTAATACCATAGCAGAATGTTCGCGGAAGTTTCGATACCCATTCCTCCGATACCGATATGTGCATCGTCGACGACGCGGTGGCTGCGCCTGCGAAGGATCGATAGGGTTACGATGCGATCGCGCGCAGGAGCGTATTATTTCGTTACGTCCGTTTTCGGATAAGGTGAGCGTCCAATCCGCGGATATGACAATAACAGTCCGAGTGACCGGTTATTCTGGCAAAATTAATGAATTGGTTTCGCAACACTTAAATTAGCTCGAGATACGAGCGAGGGAATTTGCCGCAATAACAGAGCTGATATCTACAAAATTAAGTTTGTTTTATGAGCAGATTGATGATTGCTTGTAATACGTAATTTGTTTGCTGCACAAGTACATCTGCCTGATTGTGTAAGAGCAGAGAAAAAAAATATGACGGGAGGTAATAGACTAGACTAGACCACAGCAATCGAGTTTAAGCGAAGTTCTGCCAACTAAATTACTCCTAACACGCTACACTTCGATATATCTTCTCTCTCTCTCTCTCTCTCTTCCTCTGCCCTTCTGTTTCTCTCATTAATGTTCTTCATTATCTAGATGGTAATTCCTACAAAACTCGGATACCATGCAAACCGAATTTATAATCCATACTTGGCCATATTTGTTCGAATGTAAATAAATATCGATATAAAAGGATTTTTAAATTTAATTAGATGTGTATGTACATTGTTAAGATATCGCGATATTATTATCATATTAGCGGGCATTGCAATTTTAAAATTCGACAAAATTTCTATTACAGAAATTTAATCCTAAAATTTTCAGATATAAAACGTAGTGAATAGGGGACTCTGAATAATGTAGCTGTACAAGAAAATTGTATATGTTATTTCACGGGAGCGACTTCAACGATATATAACCTTCCTTTGAAACATTTTCCACTGAAAATTTCGCTTTGAATTCGTAGTTTCGTTCGCATGTTATGCGATTGATTAGTGTTCATGAAAAAAAAAAATTTAACATTCTGCTTCACGAGCGCGATTATAACGATATGAAATCTTCCTTTGAAACACTTTGAAACGGAAATTTCATCTCGGATGCATAGTTTCGTTCACACATCGTGCGACTCGCAAAAAGCTGTGTTAATTAGACTGCCCGTACTTTAGAGCCATATTACAAGTACAAATTCATTTCTGGGCGTTAATTAAAACTATCGCAAATTGCCGCTTCTATACGCATTGCTCGTTGAGCAGTCAATAAATAACGAATCAATAATGCGTATACGATTAAAAAATTGCGAAATAAACTAATTACACTGCATGTCGAGGCTGTTCCGTGCAATGCAATGCTTTCGGCCCGAAATTTCCTTTCTCTCTAGCTCTTCTCTTCGTTCAAATCGTGCGCCGTAATTGCAAATTAGTCGCGTAAAAAATGTCGGAGGTGGCCCCGCAAAAACAGAATCCGGAAATCTGAGGCGCGACGTTCGACCCACTTTCGCACGTTCAGCGCCGGGCTGAAATTTACATTTGATCTTGGACGTTCATCGAATTTTAGCCGGTGCCGCCTTTTATCGAGAATCACGTTGGATTTAGGAGAGCGAAGCCGTTTCGACGAATAACGCTCGGCGAGAATACGTTTTAACGCGGAGAGCTAATCGATATTCGTCCCGTCGCTGCCGGATTTGCAGCGCGTTCACCTGTCCATAAAAGTCGTCGTCGCGAAGTTTGTACAATAATATCCGACCTGTCCCTCGTAAAAAATTTCCAATCAGAAGTTCCACGCGTTCCAGGGGCGAGAGGGAAGGCACGGCATTTTTGGCGCATCGCGTGTTAATTAAACCCGACGTACTGCGGATCAGATCGAACGCGAGCCAGATTTGCGGGCGCAAATCACGCGTAAGCGTATAAAAGGGGTATCAAACCGCCGGGTAAATTTCATAAAAAAACACAACGTAACGAGGAAGGGGAGCGGTTACTTTTTCAGCGTCTCCGTTTGTTTGGCAAACACATTAGTATGCGTAAATATACATTTCCCAGCGACGATCACGCTGCGTCAGGCTTTTTTTCATCTCTTTTACAGTTTTTCTTTTTTTTTTTGGATACTGTTTTTTTGGACAATGTTTTGGAAAAATATTTCATATTCGCGGTTGATTTAATCCCTCGCGCCAGGCGCTACGCGCACGGAGAGAGTTTATTTGCTCGTCAAACGCGACGGCTGCGAAAATATATACTTGTAATGTCGGACTTGGGAGAGTCGCTTCTTAAAAGTGCGACCTGTCGTCTCGCTCCATTATTTATTTTGCAAAATAATTTGTTAGCGTTACTCGTCACTTCGTCGCCGTTGTTCAGGAACCAAGAACAATCGTTACAATTCTCGTTGCTTTTTTCACGTTTGAAAGATTCTCTTTTATAATTCGCTGTCGTTCATTCCGTCTAAGTACGCTCTGCCTGCACGAAGTAAGAATCCGTATCAGGCTGGATATTAGAGATTGAGGATTACGAATTAGAGAGTGGAATTCGACGAATCGGCTAATTTCGATCCTGGTTCTCTTTGTACCAATCTGTCCAGAGTTCCTCTGCTCGACCGGCAATCTTCGATCTCCAATAGTATCTAGTCTAACAGAGATTTCAGCGTTACCGGAATACGAAATACGAAATACGGAAAAATGCTGTTACCAAGTTGCGAAAAAGGCGACCATATAACAGTAATGGCATTACAGGTAATTTTACTTTACTCGTCCATACTCTGCTTGTAACTCTCTAAAAGTGAAAATTTCGCTGAAAAATTCGAATACTACTGTGCTAAGTATACCACTGAAAAATTCAGTACTGAATTTTTCAGTAGTATACTTAGCACTGAAAATCAGTGCATAATCGCTGATTGACAATGAGTTTCACTGATTCACTTTTAGAGAGAATATTACACTCTGTGCAAAACGACCGCAAATACCTGAGTGTACACTCAATACCGTCGGGTTTTCCGTTTTACGGAAAGAGCCTAAAAACTTTTTAGCTCGACGTGGACTGAACGCGATCCATTAAGCGCGCCGTGTTGGAGGAGCAGGATATATCTGAGACGTGCCATTTTATCGGGCCATTTCTTCCTTTCCGACGTGGAGAGGAGAACGAGATTGAATGTAAGATTATGTACGAGCTGCTGTTCGTACCAATTGTGTTTTCTTATCATTTCGAAAATGGAATTCGGGAAAAAAATGTGGTGAGGAAATCTTCGCGTTACGCCCCGCCCAATAGCCTCGAGTTCTTTCACATGTATTTAATCTGATATGAAGGAAAGGGATTGCGAAAACTGAAGCCATTATTTCCTTTTTAGTGACAACTTGATAAGGGCGTTACATAATCGTTACTTTTATCTTTACGTCGTGCATGTTGAGCGCGTTGTACATATGGTCTATTATAAATGTAAGACCCACATGTGATAGAAATCGTGGATTTTTAAAACTCGTTGAAGAAAATAACGAAAACTATAAAGAATCATTGTTTCTTAAGAGTCAATGACGAATTACTTTTTTTCAATGACAAACGACAGTGAGAAACAAATTTTAATTTTGCCAACTTTGCACACATCAATATTTATTTTCCTCATGCATATTTATACCTTGTATCGCATTAACACGTGATACGATTCCCCTATACATTTTTTATGAGAATGTGGTTAATGGTATCATTGGAGAAGTTAGTCAGAAATAAGTATGCGCATATTCCACGTAGCGCTACATTCAAATTGTTCATACAGTATAAATGAGCGGTATAATGCAGGTTTTTCGTTTGCAATTTTTTGATGACACAAGTAGTTTGATGGAAACATTCCGTGCTGCTACCTCGAATCCGCTACCTCGAATTACTTCGTTATTTGCTATCTTTGGGGAATAAGGTACGTTACAAGCACATTTCATCAGTCTATCCGATCATATTAAGTTCCGCAAAAAAATTGGGAATTAAAAGTTACATATACAAGATTTGTTTCTCTGTTACGACGACGACGACGACGACACTTGATCAATATTTGCACGAGTTAAAATGAAGAATGTGCTAGTGATTGATTTAATCTTTCGAAATGAAAGACAAATTTGTTGTGAGGAAACGTCTCTTGTATGAAACATCGAATTACAACAAATTTGCAATCGGTGTCACTGCAAATCCCACGTACTGCTTTCGTTAATAAAATACGTCCCAACGTCAGAGTAAAAAATTTTGTTGAAATCGAAAGTTGAAATTGAGGCTCTCTCTTAAAAATATTTGACGTGTCCGTATTTTGACATTCGCTCTCGTTAAATCAATAAGTGGAAATAAAGAGATCGGTTTGACAATGGAGAAAGTTGCAAGTTGTTACGACATTAAAGAATAAAAATATTTCGGCTTATATCGGACACACTGACATAATATCATCCTCTCGTAGATAAGCTAAAATGTCAAATAAGGTGAAATAATAAATCACACGCCGATACTCGCGATTAGAGACTTTCATTGCACCGAGAGTGAAAAAAGGTCCCGCTAAAATTACAATCGTCGTCTGTTGTATCTTCTCGTTGTTCCGACAAAGAAGTAGCAGCAGGTATGTGCGTGTGAGGTTATTGTCATTAACAACATTGCAGCGATATTTATTACAAGTTTAGTTACTACAGCAACATTCATTACAAAAATAGTCAACTTCCTGGCTGTAAGTCTTCCATTACGCGATTGTAGACGCAAATGGACGACTCCTTCCTTTCCTTCACTCCGCGGTGTTCCCACTCGGTTATGTAAATTTAGAATATCGAGAACTTATTATGTTCGCACGCATGTGGAGAAAGTCCACGGCCCTTTCTGAAATCTATCGATCGCGCTCGCGTGTAATTTCACGCCGGCGCGCCGTTTTGATGGATGAGAAAAACCACTTTTATACGGCACGCTAATGCAAGCCTCCGCGGCCTTTGCGACGTGGCGCCTACAAAAGACGATTCTATATATCACTTTTTATCCGAGATCGTGCCGCATAATCCTCGTTACGGCCGAGATACGAAAGATGTTTTCATGGTAACCTCCGCTGGTGTAGTTCCTGTCGCACGCACGCACGCACGCACGCACGCACAGCTCTGAAAAGAATCAAGCGAGATGCGAATCGGAAGAATCTCTTGGCGAAATTTGTGCTTTTCTGGCGGCAGTGCCTGTGATTAATGAATGTACATCACTGGAGTCGGCGCTGGACTTCTTGTCCGAACGTCCTTACGACTTCAGCCAACTGACGTCGTCATTTTTCTCTGCGTGACTCAGCGTCACGTTTGATATCATCATTGTTATTATATGCGATCTCATCGATGTTTATCACAATATATTTCTAAGAAACTTGAAACTTCAAACAGAGCCTCAAAAGAATATCCGCCGGATAATTGTCAGTTGTGTTTTCTGTGTTCAATCATATCAGCATCTGTCATCGCCAAGAATTTCTCACGTCCTCGTAGGAGTGTAAATGTTCGCATGCACGCGGAGAAAGGATTAGCAGGAGCTGAGCTAAACAATAGTAACAGCTGCTCCTTTGAAGTAGAGACTAAGGAGGTGGACGCACAAAAAAATTTAGGCAGCAAAATGTAAATAGTAAGGAAAGTGACTAAGGGAATAAAAATTCATTATTTTTAAATATAATAATAAAAATATTCAACTGTTGATTGAGTAATTTATTTACTGTTTACGTCTTGTCGCTTAAATTTCTTCTGTATATCTAACTTCGCTGCGATCGAAGCTCTCTTTATCGCTTGTTTATGAATTTAATAATAAAAACACTTCGTCGTTAGAAATAAGCGATCTTTCGGTCTAGGACTCTAGGAGATAAGCGCGTACTTACGATAGTCGCAAGTATAAGATACTTGAGAATGTCTGCCATTTTCTTAGTTATTCGCGCTAGTGCGCGCTTTCAATTTATAATCTTTATCTTGCAATGCGACCTTATCTGCAACAGTCGACTGCAGTAACCTTAACGGCGACGAAGGCAAAGAGCAACAGAAGAGAGAGAGAGAGCGAGGAAAGTAGTAAAAGCTTTGCGCTGAGTTCGCATCAGCCACCGAGACTTCGCTGATAGCGGTGAGTATCTTCGTTGATACGATTTCAAGGAGATAAATCTCGAGGATAGATCAAAATCAAAATGAGAAATCAGGTCACTCCGCGTGTGTGCATATAAAAAGCGTGCCGGTAAAAAAGAAGAGCCGTCGCCCCTTTATTTGTCCGGGAAATTTCGCGGCTTGATTTACATACATAGTGCATCGGGGAGAGTGCAATGTTCCTTGCGCACCTTGGGGACAATAGCAAGACGAGCGTGCCCATACGCGCGCGTCAAGTTTTCATACTCTCGCATCATTGGCCCACATATGTATGAGTGTGTGTGTGTGTGTGTGTGACATGGCATGCGCACACACGTGCGTGCGTATGAAGGGGTACACGGCAACAACAAAGCCGATTAATTATATTTCGTTGAATTAACATACACGGTGCAAAGATTAGATCGCAGCGTCAAGGATGCAGCCGACACGTTTCGCAGCTGACATCTTCGCTTAATTCAGCGAACATGACTCGATTACCGGCGCCATCGATCACGACTAAAAGCAGTCGCATATCGAAGCGATAAAGTCGCGCGTGACGTCTTGCTCACCCGATACATGTCGCTTGTGATTACTCCGGTAGAGAAAAGGAAACTCCGTATCGCACGGAGCTATGGGACCAGCTCTGAGATGCAAGGTCGCAATCGCGCAGTGACGTCAGGGTACGATGACGCTTCTGTGTTTACGAGTTGTAACGAGCGAGCGCGCAACTTCTCGCGCGCCCGCTCGTTTTTCTCTCTTCTTATAAACCGGAATATTACGAGCTAGAAACGTAAATATTTGGAAATGCTACAGAGCACTGTTATCGATCTTTTTTTATATCAATGAGGAGAATGAACTATAAAAAGATATATATGTGTACAAGTTTTTAAGGGAGAGGAGGCATGAGTCTTTTGGAGGAAAAAACTTGAAAATATGTTCTACATCGCGGCCGATGCTGTTCGCACACAAAGCTAAATTTATAATTATACTATTTTACATGTATACATATGTAAATTTTCATGCAGGTTTATTCTCAACTTTTTTTAATCTAACGAAAATATCTTCACATTGGAAAATGTACGCTTCAAATAATTAGAAATTATCGTGATTTCCCAAAAAAAGATGAAGAAACGAACGATAATGAATTATTGTAACTGCCATAATTTACCATAAGTAATTTCTAAAAAAAAATTACCGTAATTTATTGTAATTTCTTAAAGAAATTACTATAATTTATCATAATTTCTTACTATTCGTTGGAAGCGTACTGTTTTGAAAAAAGCATCCGGACGCGGACGTAGACATTTTTTTTAAATTCTTTTTAAAGCTTTAAAGCTTTTAATGCTTAGTTTTGATTGCATTAATACTTTTTCAATACGTTACATTTCGTAATTATGATATGACAAAATATGTAAAAAAATTTTTTATGTCTTCACCCGATAATTTTTTAGAACTGTGACGCAACAGAGCACGTTGGAAACCGAATTTAGCATTTAAATAATTACAGGAAACCGAGTTACGAGTCGTAATTTCTTCTAGATCGCGATCCGGATCATTCTCGCAGAGTTCGCAAATCAATTAGTCTTGATCTTTTGACGCATTGCACTTTGCACTTTGAACACGTCCTTTTACAAGAACCTTCGCGATTCTCGATGATATACTAATTAATTTCGGTAAATATTTACCTACGGGGACTATCTCCCGATCTAAAAAATTTTAGTTGTATGTTATGTAGATCATCACTCTGAGTAATGCTGCAAGGTTTCAGCCGGCGGTCATTGTTTATTAAAAAATTATTCACAAAAAGAGTGTGTGTGGTATATATGTAAGTTGCAAGTGCGTTTAGCACGGCGCGCTACGTGCGCCTTATCCCCACTCCCCGATATTTACTCGAAAGTGATTGAAAACAAACAATGGGAAGGAGATGAAGAGAGACAAGTGAGATGGGGCGCGCCGTGCTAAACGCACTTGCAACTTACGTATATACCAAACTTTTTTGTTGATAAATTTTTAATAAACAGTGACGCCGGCTAAAACCTTCCTGCATTACTCAGAGTGGTGATCTACATAATATACAATTTAAAGATTTTTGAGATCGGGAGATGGTCCCCATAGGTAAATATTTACCTTAATTTTTATAACAATTCGCACTCAGCACGTCTTGCGCGTCGCCGAGCTTACGAGTACATTTGGTTCTTCCGGGAGAACAAGCGACATATTTTTCTTTCGCGCACGTCATCGAATATCATTGTTAGCGATTACGATCTAAGATCCAAGAGCGATTTTATTCGTACTGCGATATCGTTCCCAAATTCAGTAGTCCGGATCACGCCCGATCATTTGATGCTCGGCTCAATCTGAGCTCGGGTTAGTCACATAAACAGGCAAAAAATAGTCGTGCCTAGACGCAAACATGCTGAATAACATTCGAACCATCGCGCGTTCTGCTGTGACAGTCATGAAGAACAGCCGAGTCGACGTGCACGTACGCCAGGGAAAGCTACGCGGCATCGTCCAGGAGAATGTCCATGGCGGCTACTACACCGCTTTCCGTGGGATACCGTACGCACAACCGCCGATAGGCAAGCTTAGATTCAAAGTGAGTACATAAGAATACACGAGACTTTGCCCATTCCGATTATGCGATCTCAGTCGAAGAACAGCTGCCTCTATTGTGTTCAGCCTTGACTAGAGAGCGCCAAGCTCTCGAGGCAACGAGGCGCGTTGAAAAGTTGCCGTAATATTCAATGGGAATGGCGGGCGATACGAATCGTTCGTCGCACTCGTTGCGTTCTCCGTAGTGTTTATTCTTGCGCAGAATTTTATAAATGATCGTCCGCATAAGGTTCTAGCACTGATCTACCTTCATCTTAATGACACAAATACGTACAGGGTGTCCGAGATCTTTTGGAAACAAAAGTTCGTGAAGGTTAATCGGGTGTCATTTTGCAAAAATTGCAGAAATTATTAAGTTATTGATGAAATGAAAATAGCCGTCATATAATTGTAGATTAGGTCATTCTGCAACACAAAAAGTCCTTTACCATTTTTCAGATAAATAAATTTAAGTTATCAATTTAAAGAGCCTCTAGATGTGGTAATTTTCAATCATTAATAACTTAATAACTATCGCGATTTTTGCAAAATGGCATTTGGCTTTTCTCCCCAGTTTGATCTGATATTTGATCTTCACGATTTTTCGTCTCCAAAAGATCCCGTATAATCTTCATCTACATGTTAGATTGAAAAAAAATGTAATCCTTAGCAAATTATCAAAGACTTTCGCGGAATGCTGCGTGTGTCAGACGACGTTGAGACCGATATTGCATTAGTATTCACCTATAATCAGGACAAAGTGCTAAGAGGAATTTACATATCTCACACTGGCGTAGCACGAAGCCGCAAACGATGGATTTTTACCTCGAAACGTTATCGATAACTGGAGAAACGTGAGAAGCTTCTTGTAGCATCGTTATCGCGTTACGAGTCACTTCGTTTTCAACGATGTGACTCGGTGACCCTGTTATTTAATAGGAAATAAAAATCCTAGGACAAAAGTATCGAGGTTACAATAGCTTTCGAAATATAAACGGTAAAAGTTAATTATCTTGGCACCGCGCGCACGGGTTTGCCGTGTGCACGTACTACGCAAGCGAAGGATAAAACTTTGGGGGACAGCTTTATCCTGTATAAACTTTCGTTAACAAAGTCGATAGAATAGATCTCTTAATTTTCTACACGCGCGTGCATCGAGTTTCGTCAGAGCCACAGAGGAGGCCATTTAGCCGCTTTAACAGAGTGTTCTCTGTTAAAACAAACATCGTTGTCCAAGGCCGACTGCCTAATCCTAATCAAGGACGATTTATGTATTTAGGATCCACAGCCAATGGATTCATGGACCGGTGTACGGGACGCCTCGAAATTCGGCGGCATCTCGCTGCAAATGGACCTACTCACACGCGAAATAGTCGGTACCGAGGATTGCCTCTACCTGAACGTTTATGCCACGGACGTCGAGCCGGGGAAGAAGCGCGCCGTGATGGTGTGGTTGCACAGCGGTGGCTATACTAATTGTTCCGGCAATGATTTACTGTACGGTCCCGATCACATCGTGCGGAAAGACGTCGTGCTAGTCACGCTGAATTATAGGCTGAGCGTATTCGGTAGGTGATATGACTGATGTGCGTGTGTGCATCTCTCTCTCTCTCTCTCTCTCTTTAGAGTATTTTTTTCTGATTCCTATATAAGATAAATGGCGGAAACGCGGTATTTTTACGATTGCTCGTGAAAATAAATTTAAATTTCGAAGCGAATAAATTTTTGCGCTGGTTAATTCGAGTTTTGTTACGTTATGCGTGTGACCGTGGATTTATGACATTCAACTTTATCAGAATATCAGTAAGATGAAGCGATAATTATCCGAATAATCCGAATGGTTAAGTAAGCATCGATTATATTATCGCATGTTTAAAATTATTTTCAACTCGATTCGTGTTGAATATTCGCGAAGTAACAAGGAATGTTAACAAGGAATGAGAAGTAACGAAAAATGCGAAGCAGAGTAGTGGACAAGTTGCGCTAATTCGTGGATAAGAGACGCAGTGAATAGACGGTGTATCCCGCTCAAATATGTGAATCTCATAATGTGTGAGAGAGAGAGAGAGAGAGAGAGAGAGAGAGAGAGAGAGAGAGAGAGAGAGAGAGAGAGAGAGAGAGAGAGAGAGAGTTTGCTTCATCGATGCGATAATGCAACGCAATCTTATCGCTTTAGTAAAAATTGGGTTAAGCGAGTATTATCTTTATGCGTGATTTACGGATAGGAATCTAAGATTGAACGCGGAACAACAGAAGATACGGCGTGATATTACTATCATTTGTTACTTCGATTTGTCACCTGATTGATAAGTCAAACTGACTTATCAGTGCGATAATTTTATTATTAATATTCTATATTATCCGCTATTCTATATAATCCGATCTTTATAAATCGCAAACAACTAGCGACATTTCATAGCGAATATGAGTCATACAGATGATGTAGTCAGTATATATGATGAAAAAGCAAATGTTTTTCTCCTTTCCTTTTAACACGGAGGATACTTAAAAAAATTTGGCTTGATAAGCGGGATATATTGCATATTTATGATTCTTTGCTTATAGAATATATACCGGAAGTGTCACGTAAAGAGAATCTCGAAAGTTTGAAATTCCAAATTATAAAGTCGGAATTAATTTTAAATTGTAGATCGGTTGGCACTTATGCACTTTAAGATTTCGTTAATGGAAGAAGCTAGAGAAAGCTGAAGATGAAAAGTCACTTTGTCACTTTTTTCGTGTCCAGCGTTCACAGCTCGAAAACATCCACGTTTCGTTCATCGGAAAAAGCCAGGAAAATATCTCGTTACTAAGTTCCACGTAGAATAAGTCAATCGCCCAATTTTGCGCAACTTTACTCGAGTTAGGTCAACTTTGCGAAACGAAATTTCTTCAGGTTTCCTCAACCTAGAAAACAACGTGGCCTGGGGCAATCAAGGTATGAAGGACACGATAATGGCGCTGCAATGGGTTCGCGATAATATATCGAGCTTTGGTGGAGATTCAGAAAACATCACAGTCTTCGGCAACAGCGCCGGCGCAGCTATAGCGCATTTTTTGACCACGTGTCCGTTAGCTGACGGTATATATGTCACAGATTTATCTATATGCATAAATACACATACACACAGACAGACATACACAGAGTAGTGAATCATCAAATGTGCTTTCAACCACAGGTATATCAGACTTGATTTTCCTTCAACGAAAACATCGAAGCGCTAATAGCTTTTGCTGCTCCGAGTAGCTTTTCCATTTTCTCTCATATCGCAGCGTTATTAATGTTTCACATGTTTCGTGCTTTTTTATATCTTTTTCCTTTTTTCCACTCATGCCTTATATTTTTAGAAAGCGTCTCCTATAAATGTCAATAACAGCTCTTACTTATCGACCTATCCACCTACTTGGCAAATACGAGAATTCCAGGTCCAATTCCTGATTGAAGTAATCGCGAGAGACGGTAGTGCCTTGAGCTAAGAGAGTGCTCTTTTTACCTTCCTTAATATTTCTAACAGAATTGGAGTTTCACTTGCGATAAGGATGAGAGACAGGTGTGGTTTCAGTAACTGATAAAAAATACTGAGCTGTCCAAAGCCAGATTTTTCGGAAAAAATGAAAAGAATTATATTTTTATATCCTTTAGTATCCTTTGTACACATGAAAACATATACACAAAGGATAACAAAAAATCGAAGCGACGTATAAATTGTTTTATAAAATCATAATGGTATAAAACGGTACAAACGTTTAATTTTAGCTTTACAGATTGCTTATCATACAATACTTAATATATATACGGGATTAAAAGTATCGATCTGATAGTAAAACTAGAGCAACAATTTATATTTATGACGATAAATATATTTATGATGATAAATAATAAATAACTATTATTTACGCGCGAATAAATAACACACACATTCCTCTCAGCCAAAGCGTACTTTTGAATTAATTTTATCCGAAAAGAATCTCAATTTGTTATTATTTGAACTTTTATGCGGGATTTACAGAGACATGATGCAGGGTCAAAACTTGTAAAATGATAAAACATAAAAGAGAATAATAAGAATAATAATTTTCCTCGTTATTTCTCCGCTGGCGGAAAGTCAACTCCTAGTTGGTCAAGAAATCTCATTAAAAGGGCATCCATTGGATGTAATGTAGCTTGTTATGTATCGTTAAAACGAAGGAAGAAGTTGAGACGAAGAAAGAACAGTATTGGATTTAGCTTTATATCCCCCGAATCCCTTCGTATACTCGTTATAAAAGCGTGTTTTGCAGGTTTATATCACAAAATGATCATACAAAGCGGCTCGTTGCTGTGCCCATGGGCTTTCGACCTACCAGGACGTCAGAAAGCTTTGGAACTCGCTGGGAAACTCGGAAAACAGACCACAAACCTGCAGGAGGTGGGCGAGTTTCTCCAAACGGCCGACGCGAATGAAATCATAAACGTTTGCCAGACGCTCATATCGCCCCTCGTAAGTATTTTAATAACGTCTAAAAAAGTCATAATCGCTGTGCGATCGCGGTCGCGGAAAGGCAGCCCATCAAGGAAGATTACGCACAGTTATATAAAATTATATAGAATTGTACATAAATTATATAAATTTATATATGACGTTTATAAAATACGTAGAAATAGCTCTTTCTATAACTTTAAAACTGCAAATTTCTCAAAATTGTGACGTGATGAAGCAATTTAGAAAGCGGATTCGTGTTGAGCGCCCGAGAAACTACAGGAAATGACTAGTCTCGCTCTGGTATTCGAAGAAAAGTCATTTTTGTCGAACCGTATTTTGTCGAACGTCTATGAGCTGCCATAAATATATAAACAAATGTTTTAATCGTATTTATGCAACAGCATTTTTTTCCTTATAAATACATGGCAATGTATGATTATTTTTTGTCGAGTAACGCAAATCCAACGAATGAAATAGTCGAGACGAATAAAGCGTATCGACGAAAGAAAACGAATAATTGTCGATAATTCGTTTTCGCAGGAAAGCCGATTGTTCATGATCGCATTTCCCCCCTATATGGACCTGAAGTCACCGGATCCATTCTTCACGGACGATCCGTATGTGTTAGTACAACGTGGAATTAAAGTGCCACTCATGCTGGGTTATACAGACAGAGAAGGGATCTTCTTCACACGCAGTGAGTTCGCGTCATGCCACGATGCAAATAAGAATATACATACATATCTGAAAATGTCTCCGGAGACGTGAACAATGTCGCGTGATGTTGCTTGTCGTGGAATAATAAGTATACTACATATAACACTGTGGACGTCAGTGTGGCTTACGACACTGACGTTTCGAAAAGAAGTTTCTAATGGATCATGTTGAAGTTGCGGCTTGAATAACGTTGTGACAAATTAAGAAGTTTGTAACTTCCGAACATAGACTTATGCACCTAGACTGAAAGCTCCACAGGGTGCTGCGAAGGGATGCCACTTGAGAAGGGTGGCATGCGCTACAGGCATTCGATCTCTGTCTACTTTGATTTCTATTGAAGAAGGCTAGGCAAAGATCGAACGTGCCTGTGAATAATGGAATGCACTCTTCAAAATACGGATTGTGTATTCTCTACTTGAATGTTATATTTGTAACCGGCGGTTCAGTTAAAAGTGTACTGCAATCGATAAAATTTCGCTGAAAGAATCAGTCGATAATAACTCGACCGCTCCCATTATTGATGCAGTTTGCGAGCATAGACAGTATCATCGTACGCAAGCCAATAATTCCAAAGTCACAAACGTAATGGTGGATTTGGTGCAACGTGTAGTGAATTTCTGTATTGCAGACTTTGCAGTAAAATCTTATTTTTCACTGGTCCAAGTCAGAAATATAAGTGGGAGTGTTCTCAATAAAAATTAACAAACACTCGTCGATTATTAATATTACTAGATTTATGTTACATGTATTGATTAATATTAATGAAGTGTCCTACATATACTGATTAATATTAATAATGTTCTCGAAATTATTTCAGGATTGAATGATAAGTCCATTAATTTAGTGAATTCTAATTTCGAGAATACTATACCAAAAAGAGTTATGGCTGACCTGAAGAAGAAATCGATAACGGCTAATGACATACGATATCTCTATTTCGGTGATAAATCGTTGTCGAAGGAAACTATGGGGCATTACGCTGATTTCCTCACCGACGTACAATTTCACCGTCCAATTCAAGAAGTAGCCAATATACAAATGCAACTGGGACACAAATCGACATATCTATATGAATTCTCATATGACAGTAAAGATTCCATTTTGAAGAAAGCGATGGACCTCACCGAACCAGGTATCGCTATGTTCGTTGATTTAAGTTAGTACAAAGATATTTACTCTCGAAAAGCAAAAGTGTGTTTGTACTCGTATAGTTTTTTCAATTTATGAAAATGCAAATTTATGAAAATTATAAGAAGAATGGGCCACCGTAATTCTATGAATAATTATTAAGGAACGAACTAAATTATTAGTAAAACTTAAATTAGAAGTAAAACAACAATTGATAATATTTTATAGACATAAAATGCGAATCGTCACTTTGCGTGTTTAGAATTAACCTACTATATAATTCTATTTTATAGGAGCGGCTCATGTTGAAGACACATGTTATTTATTTTACCCTTACTTAACGAAACGATTTGATATACCACCGTTTACGTCTGATTCGGAAGATTATAAGTTAATAAACCGTTTTACGCAGATGTGGACGGACTTTGCTAAAACAGGGTACCGTATATTTAATATTTTTTTCCGAATTTTTTATATGAACGCTTTGCGTGCGAATCTCATACTGATAATTGATATTCAAGGAACCCAACACCTGCTGTTACGGACTTGATTCCGACCACGTGGACACCGTTGAAGCCAGGGAACGTGTTCGATTACTTAGATATCAATAAAGAATTGCGAATGAAAACCGGCCGTAAAGGAGAGCAACGTTGTGATTGGGAGAAGATAAGAAACAAACTTTAACATGCATCTATTCATTAGAACTTTGACTGTAAAGTTAAATCTTTTTATGCATGATATTGAGAAATATAAAAAATAACACTACGCGATGATATAATTTAAATTTTACTTTTTTGATCTTTTTATTCAGGTTACTACGTACTACTATATATATAAACTTGGTTACTGTTACTAAAACTTACGATATATTTATGCAATATTTATTATGCAGGGTAAATCTTGTTGTTTATCTTCCGTGTTGTCAAACATATTAACTGTTATTTTATTTTTTTACGCGAATTGTTTACTAAGTGAAAGATATAAAAATTATTACAACACAGAAATATAAAGAGATTAGAAAAATTTTATGTTCAATACTTTTGTCAAGAAAAAATTCCGCTTTAATATTTATTCATGAATTATTTGTCTCAATTCTCTCTCTTAGGCAATATTTTTCCTAAGAAAAGACTGATTATTGATTTCATGGATTTTCATTTCATTTTATCCTTTTATTACATATTATTAAATATCTTGCATATTTAAAAACAAGTAAAGAAGAAAATAACCAAGTTCATTGTGTTATTTGGTATCAGGACAATTAAATATCACATATTCATACAGCCCTGAAAAGGAGCAGGAGGTTTGTTCTTTACAGCTGAACTGGCTGTACCAATTCAAGAAGTGTGTGCCACTAAAATGGCGTCCTGATATTCACTCTGTCAGTATCCAAAATCTATATAATCCATGTAACGTATATTATAGCTTTCAATATTAGCATATCGGAACGTAACTTAAAGTGATCTTTAAAGCAGAACTGGTGTAAACGTTGAAAAAGCGACTGTATAAGCGAATGACACTCTGAAAATAATAAGTAAATACAATAAATGATAAATATAATATTATATAATATATTTAATAAATTTGATATTTCTTATTATATTACTATCTTCAAACAAGATTGAAATGGTAAAATTATACTAACATTATCTTTCTCGTTGATCCAACAATTCAATTCAAGAGGTACGCCAATGTAATGCGTTGTATTGTTTCAGTACAGTAACGTTCATAAGTCTAGTCACTTTCGAAAAATTTCTGAACTAGTGCAAAGTTAAAATGAAACAAGTACTTTCTTTCACTCTATCTTATTGCACTCATCGGTTCTGCCTTACGGTTTTCCTTCGATTTACAGTACAGCTCCAGTTCAGGAGGTCGATTATGTACCTAGAAAATTGGAAATTACAAAAATGGACAAATTTACTAGATTAACCAATGAAATTATGAATATTCTAGTAAATTTGCTTCCGTTTACAATTTCCATCCCGTTTCAAAATCAACCAGCTATAAAGAACGAACCTGGAGATGGAGATAAGCTTATTGCTTTTAAAGCGATATTTATAATTTGATTTTAATGTTGTCTTAAATTCATCTAATGATATAATCAATATTTGCTATATCTTAAGATAAAATTTAAAAAGACGATTTTACAAATATAAGATCTGACTATAAATATCTTGAATATATTTTATTGTATACATCATATTCTAAATTAAACATATATATATATATTTAGATATATATTTGACAATTTTGAGGACAGAAGAAAGAAAGTAACAGAAAAAGGAAGAGAAGGATTGGAAGGAGGGATATAAAATGTATCAACAGAAGATAAAACAAACATTGAAGGTACAGGAACGTACAGATAGCCTAACCGTTGTGCAATCGAACGCTGTCATGCGAATTCAAGCGAGTGCATGCGTCTCCAGACGCGTAAAAGAGTCCCGTTACTTATTGGTCTGTTCTTCATCACTATTCGCCTTACTAGTTTGCACTAGTTCTCTTTTCCTCATTTTACCACCAAGTTTCTCAACTATATATTTCTATTTCTTTCGAAGTTCCGAAAGGGTACACTAATTCAACGATAAACAGCAAAAACTAATATTTGTACAGCGGTGAATTGCGACGTATTGATCGCTGTATGTGAATCATCTATTCGAAGCAGACAAGAACATTATCAAACAAGGCTACGTATCGGAAGTTCACTCGAGGAAAGAAACTTAAAAGACGTTGCGTAATTCGGCCTAAAACATCACCGGCCAAAAGTGTTCCTATATAAGCAAATACGCAATATGATATTCAGCATACATGTTAGTGACGGTTGCAATTAATGGTACATGTCGTGCAAAACCGGTGCTACCTTCGCGCGGTGACTGAAGCCTTTTGTTTTTCTTTTGTCGCTTTACCCATATTATTATATGCGTGCCGCATATCTTGTAATGTCCAGGCAAATGTCAAAATTCGCAGTGACAATTCACGCTGTACTTTCTGGCCAGTGAAAATCGTCCCAACCTTGATTGACTCAAAAGCGTTGTTCTCCGGAACTTTTAACACTGTGAACTAAACAAAGTGGACGAGACAAATAGTTTTTCTTCCAGATTCGCGCGAGCGTTCGTGTTTCGTGCTTTCGTCTTCGGACGACGGTCTACTTGGAGACAAGAGACACTTCAGGGCAAGAGCAAGCAGGTGTCTGCACATATCGGTTAGTCAGCCGTGTGTTTCAAGTTCCGTTTGTACCCGCAACTGGCCGATGACACAATGTTCGCGACGCCATATTTGAACGCGATTCAAAAACTACCGGGCGACACCGCCAAAGAAAAATGGAAATGGCTTCGGAAGTTGAGCCAGGATCAACAAAAAGCCAGCGGAGATATCGATCAACTGCCGTCGGAGCTGCAGCCGCTACTGCGCGTGGATGTCGCCGTCAGGCAAAAGATATACGAGGACGTAGCGTCGGCCTTGAAATCCGACGATCTAACCGTAGTGCGACGTGCTCTCCAGGCCTCTTGGTTCTTCGACGGTAGCCACAAGGACGTCGTAAATGTGGAATACTTCTGCAAACACATCTTTCCGTATGTCTCGGTGAACACGAGAGTGCATATCATAAAGAAACTCGCCCATAAACTGAAGGACTCGCAGTTCGCGCGGAAGATGTTCACAGAAGTAGAACACATTTTCGGCATTCGGCAGGCCTTGCCGTTGATTGTGATGTGCGACGAGGATTTCGCTTACCGTACGATCGTGGAGAAGAGTATCAAATTGCCCATCACGATCGCCAAGAAGATCTTCCGCAGGAACATAGATTTCATAGCGCGCTACCTTAACTCGCCCTACATCTGGGAAGGTTCCGTCGTGGACGATAATTTGCGAGTCGATAAAAATATAAAGGACTATAAGAGCTTCTTGCCGACATTGATGAAGAAGCGACCGGCCGCTTTCGCAAGGATCTACGAGAGATATGGCAGGATACCATTGTACATAAAACTGAGTAACACGTGCGTCAATGCGTTCCTGAAGAATGGAGTAGAGTATCTGATAAGAAAGCCGTCCTTGTTTATCGATACATTGATACCAGTCAACAAGATTCGCGACGCGACGATAATCGAGAAGATAATTCCGAATCTGCTGCCTGAGAAGGTCGACGAATTCAACATGGACGATGTGTTGGTGTATTTGGAGTATTACCCGGAGAACAAGGCATTCGATCTTCTGTGTAGATCTTACCGGGAAAAGTACAACGCTGACATTTTGGATACGCCTCGAAATGTGACGTACAAATTGTTGAAAATAATGCCCGCCAAGGAGCGCGTCAAGCACGCCAGGATCAAGATGAAGCAGGATGAACTGTCGCGCGACGTCGAACGACAGATCCAAGCGTCCTCGTACTCGGACACCGACATGATTGAGTACGAGGACGCTTGGATCTGTTATCTGCCTACCGCGGAATCGATACCGTCTTTGAAAAATTCGATAAAAGCGGCCATCGAGACAAGGGAGAGATTGGACTTGCTGTTGCGGATGATTTACACGTGCAAGGTGAACAACGACGAGAAGGCGTTCGTAGACTACCTCAAGTATTTTCTATACAGGCATAAGAACGAAGAGATATGGGCGGTCGATCAAGTATTAGACACAATCGCCTCGCTCTATAAAGTGCACAGCTTGAACGAAAATGTCGACTCTGTCCTGAACGAGATCGTAGTTACGTTTTATGCAAAATACGGCTGTGTCTCGCAGAACATTCTCCTAGGTCTGATCCATTACAGGCTCCAGCGCGATATGCCGATCATAGAGCAGATGAAGATGTTAACAGACACGGTGATGTACAAATATACTGATCCTCTGACCGTGACGTTCCAATATATATTTCGAAAAAATCCGGACTATATAAGGCGGTGCATCATCGTTTGCATGGAGGTCCTAGAAGGGCAGAACAAAACTGAGGATTGGAAAGTACGCACGAGGCACTTGCTGCTCGATCTCGCCCGTGCGATGTACTATCTCAACGAGGAATGCAAGAAATCGTTCACAGAAGTCAAGCTCATGACGGTCCACGACTACCCGTGGCTGTTGCCTACTTTATTTGCAAATACCCGATCTAAGTGTGAATATTGTTACATCAATGAGGTGGTCAAATTGTTTCGCAAGCACGAACCGGAATTGTACAGTTGTTGGTTCGTCAATAAAGAAGAAGTGAATAAAGAAGACAGGTGTAAAAACGACGTGGAGACGGGTGCGGTGATGAGGACGCTGAAACGAGACTCGCAGTCGATATTGGACAATTGGGAGATATATTTGTGTGCCTGCAAGGTACATGACCGCAAGAAGAGCATGCATCGTTTCGTCAGAGCGATACGTTGGTACAAGGACCTGCCTATCCGGTTCCTGGATTATTGCCGAGATAAGTGGCAGCAAAATAAAGAGCCGAGTTACTTGATCATCATGACATTATTGATTCGTGGCGACACTGCGGCGAAGTTGGCAGAGCCTTTGATACCCACGCAGGTGCATCGTCCGAAAATCTGGGAAAATGCTGGGGATATCAGGCAGGAGTACCTTCTCTTGAGAACTATACCGCTCGTCATGAAACTTGCCAATCCGCTGCTATCTCCCGAGCTCGTGGTCAGATTATGCGAAGCGAACATGCAGGTAGCGTTGATGGCGTTGATGTACATATGCAAACGGTACCCGTTGCCGAAAGCGATATCGCTCGTGGAGAATCTCTCGGACAAACGGGTCAGCATTGTAAAGCACGGTATCCGAATGATGTACCTAGTGGCATCCTCGCAGCAACTTGAGGATTTCATCCCGTCCATATGGCAGAAAATGAAACAGCACTCGATACGAACTGTTTTGCTGACGACCGTTCAGAACTTGTTCCTCAAGGATCCAAGTGACCATAGTTGGTCCTTGTACAAAAAGGTGATGGCGATGGTGCTCATCGAGAGGAACTTGTCGTTGTTCCCAGAACTACATCCGATCGACGTACCTGACATGTACACCATGGAGTACATCGAGTTGATGCTCAACCTGATAGACAGCATGCTAGCGAAGGAGGTGAGGATCGGAGGAAATGTGTGCGAATGCGTCAGCAGTATATTAAAAATGTTGGCCCGGCGCACCAAAACAGACGTGCCGATTAGGTACGTCGAGAAGTTACTGCCCGAATACCTGTTTCACCAGACCGAAGATGTAGCGAATGCGGCGACAGAATTCGCCGTGAATTTATGTCTGTCACTTGCGCCTGTCGACCCGATGTACAAGACGCGCATGGAGATTTTCTCCGACGTCTTCAAGGAGAAGGTAAAGAGAGACTGGGGAAAGTGCGATCAGAAGAAAAGTGCCTTTTATCCGATCAACTACGCCGTCAGCGAGTTTATCAAGAATTTCACAATCACTGCTTCCCGCGAGAAATGCTACGCCTCGCGGATCTCCGAAATGATGGAGCTCTTCTTGTCCGTCCTAACGCCTCAAAAGGAGCCCCAGTCTTACATGCTTCTGGTGTATGCGCAAGACTGGTCGATGAGCACGTCACTCGAACAATATGGCCTGAAACTCAGCGCGAGAATGCCCAACTTGATTGAGACGTTTTCGCTCATGTTCATGCCCAACATGATCGATACTTTCAAGTATCATCTGCTCAACATGGTGGATGCGAGAAACTGCGATAAATTCAACAATTTGAAGATCGAGTCTACGCTTGACGTTGTGAATGGTCTCATCCAGACCGGCAACGTGGAGTCCTGTTTCATGGCTGTGAGTTTGTTGGTAGAATACATGCCATGTCGCAACGTGAGATACTGCGGACTTGTTGACAAACTCTTGAACATGAATCACCTTGGTATCACGAGTCTTTTAAACAAGCATAAAAACCAAGTTTCCTACTACAATGCCAAGTTCGACATTGAGGACTCAGTAGGTACCGTGGGAACCGAAAGTAAGTAACTCGCGGGAGAGTAAAGGTTGAGTTGTTGTGTTTCACTCGTTACATCTTCTATAGTAACCTTCGATGACGGCGCACGCTTCGCGACGACGAACGATACACCGTGAGATCGTACGTTGCACACAATTAAACAACGATTTCGCTGCGAATGTGGTTTCACATGTCGTGCACACGCGGATTTATTCCCACGCGGGTTTCCCCCAGCCGAAAAAAAGGAAGAAGAGCAAATCGACCGCCACAGGCGTCAAGTTCTCTCATTCTCCCCAGCGAGGCGACTGCTCTCTTTTTATCTCGATGTGCAGATACACAGCTGAGGTCTTTAACACGCTATTAGTGGTCTTCCGGGGGAAATAAGCGCGCGGCAATAAAAGTTGGTTAACGATCCGAGACAGATAAAAGACAGCCACTTCTCTCGCGTTGTACTTAAGTTTCCAAATCGCTAACACGTTCATACAGAATACCGATGTGTGCGATAAACACAACAGTACAATGTTAATAAAACTGTTTTTAAGCAGCTCGGACGAGGATATGATGTTGGTATAGCGTACATCCGTTTTTCCGCCTCTCTTTCTCTCGGTCTTTCTCCTCCATTATCAGCGTGTGTTTGAATACAGCACGGCACACACGGATGCATCCTTTGCGGCACATAAGCCTCTTTTTTATCCAATAATAGTCCACAAAATAGCACAAAAACCTCTCGTGATACGCGCGACATGTATCGAGTGGCCACTTTATTCGGAGGGATAAAGAGAGGGACAAAAGAAAAAAACGTGGGATTCTCTTTTACTTTCAAAGTATCCGCGATTTGCTCGACATGTGCGTTTGGCAATCGCCTATTTATAGCTACTCTTAGGCACACGGGTCTGCCGTAATATACTGGTCTTTAACGATAGCTTCTGCGTGCAGGCGACTCGGTTCCTAATAGAGTGGCTCAGTCGACCTCGATCGAGATCTCGGGAGGAAGAGTGGTAAGAAAAAATATCCTGTTCGTCGACCTTGAAATGTTTCTTGAAACTGCGATCTGGAGCGCGAATTTCTGGTCGCGTTCCTGTGTTAGCAATGTCGTGAATGCTGTCATGTGTCAACGCGTGAGCCAGAGTGCTAAACATATCTGTTGATGTATCGACGTGCGTACCAGCGAGATTCGCCGGTGAATTATTACAGATCGTGCGGATACGAATATTTGCCGTCAGATCAAGTGAAGATGAGCGATGCATCGTCGAACGATTGGATTGATAGTAATATAAGTGATATTCCAACGGTAAAATCACTACGAAATTGACAATTATTAATCATTACGAGATCGCAATGGGAACGGACAAGTATTCCGGCTCGATAGCGTTTGGCGAGAGAAAGAGTATAGAAACGTGAGACAGCGAAGACTTAAGACGCTGAGACGTGGAGTTGGAAGTTTGTGGGAGAATATAAAAAATAAAATTGTCGACGTGTTTGATAGAAGGTAATTTGCATCTCAAAGAAGCGAAAGTAAGAGATAAATTGCCAAAGACGCCTAGGTGCATGATCGATTAAATGTAGATAAAAAAATCAATAGGAGTATTACTATGTATTATGCGCCTGTATGTTATATTGTCCTTTTCAAACTATAATTAATTCTCAGCTCATACATTAACGATTCCTGCGAGCATTCGATCGAGTGAAAGATTAAAGTCAGTGGAAAATATAACAACTATCAATCTGGGAGACGTGTTCATAAATAAAGGCAATTAGCATGTACTTACGTGATGCGTCAAAACCGGTGATGAAGTTCGGACATCGCGTGTACACAGTCGACCCCGCTGGAGTGTTCGGCCAACAGGACCACCCATCGAATGTAAGGGGACAATATGGCTCTGAAACAGAAATTCGAATAGATGATTACAGAGAGATCACACAGCCAATGATCCTGTCAAAGCGTTACATTTGACAGCGTGCTGGGATTAAACGACGAATACATAATGAGTCGGTCGTGATATCGTCGGGGGGCATATCGCAAGCAGAAGAGGAAAAAAAAAGGAAAAAGAAATATAACGTCGTATCAGTCATCGTGGCGAATTGGATAAATCTTTCCGCGCGATTTACGGCACGGTCATAAAAGGCAACCCTCGCGATATATATCACCTACTTATTACTGATCACTGGGAGATTAGAGGAATCTCGCGGCGTATAAAGCACGCGCTCGCGTGCTTAACCTAAGCAAACTCGTAAAATTTTCGAGTTATTCGAAATATAATAATATATTTCGAATTTATCAGCGGTTATAACGGAATTCGAAGAGTCTACATTTTTTTCATCAAGTTCAATTTATCGTACGTATGCGACATCCACACAAATGTCGAATCGGTCTTATACTTGCTCAGAAGTTCAGGTTAAACAAAGTTTGTATGAGAGTTTGTGCAGAGTAATGTTCACCCAAAAAATAACAGTAATCCTAAGTTTCTCTGTCCTTGTTGTCCTTGAAATTCTTTTGAATATTTTTTCTGAATTGTTATTATAACCGCAAATTATGCAGACTATTTCAACGAAACTCGTAGCGGTAGGTATTCATGTCAAATAATATCAGGCAAAGGGATAAGGCGTGCTTCTCAAACGTTTGCGAGACAATCGAAGTTAAAGAATATCGGGAACCTTACAAATAATAATTCGAGCAAAACATTTAATCGAAGAGCGCGTAAAAAAACGCAGCGGCAGCACGGCTGACTCGTAGCCGATTTGAGTCCCGATGAGTAACTTCCTTTCAAATTATTTTTTTTACATTTATGTTTTTACATTTGTGTCATGTATAGCAGTCATCTATCCGCAATTATTGTTGTTTAGAAACACAATTAGTAATGACATTGATTTATTTAGAAAAATGGTCCAAAAGAGCCTAGAAGTACTACATAATTTCGACCATGCCATATTGGTAGTTCTCGCGATTTCGACGTGCCATGTGCTATCTGATGATCAATTATTGCCAATTATTAGTTCGTCCTCATTAAGTGAATCAGTATATAATTCTATTCAACGTTACTTCTATTGTACGTGGTGGTGAAAGAAGAAGTTTTTTCAAGGTTTTATACGCTACATTAATGCGAAATCATGTTTGAGAGATTTCACCGCTCGGTTACGTGCCCTGCAAAGTTCGCACTTGTTCGCAAGATGTGAACTTCTGAAGAAATGCTGATAACGCGAATTGTATTAGAGGGAGAGACGTCCGTGCGGTCTTGCCAACTGAAACTTTATCGAAAATAAATTACTTTTCTCTCCTTTCCTTTCTGACGATTGGTTTACGAGAACGAGACACGTATACGATATCGCACTGAAATAATGATGAGAAATACACTCCTGAACGAAGAAATTTGCGCTTGAGTTTCTTCGTACGAGACAAGCGTATTTTGCAAAATCGATATAAAAGTTAACGGAGATAGTAATGGTAATTTTTTTTCGTCGAGATAAACGTGCGCGTTCCCGACGATAAAAATTTCGCTCGTTGTATAAACATTTACGTACACGAAGCGTAATAGTGAGTTTCTTCGAGCACATTGTGCATTTACGTATGTAAAATAGATGTTGGCTCGACCAGCGTCTTACGTCAGAATCTATTTCAAGCTATGTGTACATTTTGGAAACCCTTAAATCTTCACGCTTGATGGAGCGGATTTTAGGTGCGATCAAAGGGACTGACTTATGCATCGGGTCCGCGAAGACCGTTCCGGTCGGACGTTTGGGAGTTGTGATGGATGACGTTTAAGAAAAGAATCGATTTGTGTATAAATCTGAAATCGAAATAACTAGAATCAATTTAGGCCTAAAATAATTGGTTTTCTAAAAATCAACTTAAAAGAAAGAATCATGCGCACATTTTATTGTTTGCGTCATCTTTGTGTGTAACAATGTCATGTGTGTGTGTGTATCGTCGTACACGAAAGAACTGTGTACAGTAAGACGATGGACTTTTCACGCGACATAAAGATCTTAGCAAAAAAGAGGAAAAAGAGAGAAAAAGAACTTATATAATATAAATATAAATTCTAGTGTAATGCAACGCGGAATAACGATTACATTATTTTACAATGATGGATCAAAGAAAATTGACGATTGACTGAAAGAGAAAAATATACGTGATGGTATTATTATTGCTAAATTATAAAACTACATCACAACATATTATACTATATAATATTGTGCTATAGTATTATTTAAATAAGACGAGGAATAAGAATTTCTTTGGGAAGGTGAAATGTAATAAGATAAATAAACATAATTAATTATCAATTTTAGAGACTGTATATTTTAATTAGTCTCGTCCGAGAGGGTCGCGATGTTTCAGTGAATCAGCGATCAGCGTGTTCGACTGTGATTATTGTTGCAAATTACTTCGGAAGAACGGTATTATAGCCGAAAATTCACATCTCATCGGAAATGACCCAAAAATGCAAGCTATAGAAATAAAGAAATATAACAGACGGAGTTTATCTCGCGTGAGAAAGGGAAGAACGCAACCGACCTTTCGGTTTTTTACGTCAAACTGAACAAGAACCGATATCAGATTCTCCCACCCGACACTCGTCTATTTTATTATTGCATATCTGCTTTTCAACGGTAGGAGCCAGAGTAGTACTAAATTGGCGGTGATATACTAGCGCGCACACACAAGAGCATTTAGTGCACAGAGATATAATTTATGTCGGTCGAGAGATATAATTTATGTATTTTCCATCGACAGGTAATACTTTCGTATTCAATATGTTATCGTACAGTGAGCAATATTGTAGATTGTGCCGATAGATGTCGTATTAAGAGGTACGGTAATGCCTTGCACCAAGTTCAATCGCAACGAAGTTGCGCTCGAACGACGCGAAGTATTATATGCCGTGAATGTCGCGGTACAAAATTTCGCAGTCGGTTGTTCAGTTGAGATCGGAGTGTTCATCACAGTACGCCAACTAGATTCCACGCGCAAGTTGCACATAGTCCTCCAGGAATAAACAGGTCGTATCTTTATTTTTTTACATTTTAGAACAACGTGAAGTTCTATGGAAGATACAAAAACGCGTTAGTCTCCTATTTGAGAAACTCTCCAAATTTCTTGGGATGAGGTGTCACTCGAAGCGAAGGGACTTTTCACTCATGTAGAGTGGAAAGTTCCTCGAATCTTCCGCTCTGAATCGCCGAGTGAATATTTTCCTTCGAAATTACGTTTGTGAATCTGATCTATTTGTTAGAAACGTTCATCTGTATGCAGTCAGAAGTCACTCTGAGTTTGAGTGAAATATTCGTTCATATGATTCAAAAACGTAAAAAATAACGTAATTATTGCATTTTATCTCTCTATCTAATCATATGATGATGTTTTCGCAGATGTAGCCGTAGCATATGGCGGAACTGAATAATCACAGTTGCTGCAGAATAGTTATCGGATCTGAAATTTATTGACTTATAACAGCGATTGTCTCCTTTAAGTCAATATGAAGTTGTTATCAATTGTTCTCGTGATTTTGGCGAGCTGCGACCAAATCGCCAATGCATACCGGATTCTCGGCATATTCCCGTTTCATTCACCGAGTCATTGGGTCATGATACAGACTCTGATGAAAAGTTTGGTGCAACGTGGTCATCAAGTAGACGTTGTCTCGCATTTCCCGCAGAAGAAGCCGATACCAAATTACACGGACATTAGTCTGGCCGGTTCTGTCCCCGAAGTTCGGAACAACTTATCCGCCTCTAATATTTTCTCGTTCAACAGTTTTACCATAAAATATATGACCAAAATATTCGGGAGCGATACTTGTGAGTTACTAGGCCATCCAGCATTGCAAAATCTGATCAAGAATCCGCCGCAGGATCCTCCCTACGACCTCGTTATTATAGAGGTATGCTCAACACTCTTATTCGTACACAAGAAGTTACGTACATTTAGTAATTCCGTTAATTACGTATATTCAATTTTAATAAAGCTTTCACGTGTATTGAGTCAAAACACACTAGCTTTTCTAATCGTACGCATTATATCCAGAAGCACGAGCATTATTGCATAAGATATATGATATCGTATCGTAACATATATCCAAACGCGACGAAAACACGGTAAAAGCGCGATAAAATTAGAAGCGAGTTTTAGTTCAATGAATGTAAGTGGCTTTATTGAACCTTAATACGCACATGAGTATCGCTCAATTAAATCTCAATCAAATCCCCACCTGAGCGAATCTTGTTTGAGATCGGAAATACAAAGTATGCATGAAACTGCATTAATCGTTCATGCACGGCTCATTTGATAATGAATGATGAGATCTTCAACTTTTTGCCTCATTGAAACATAAGTATCGTGCTTGTATATTTGCTGTACTCGATATACCAAGGAAAATAGAATTGCAAATTCAGTCGCTTTAAATTTTTCTTATTATGACTCGTTCTAACTATAAAGATTATTGAAAATGGAAAACTACAACTCGTTCAAAACTCGTTCGAGAACCAATAACACGAAGTAGTGACTAACATGATAACAAGTTTCATGTAAAAATGATGACAATGAAAGATAACGATGCACATGTTGAAAAATAACGTAACGTCGTGTAATATAATATTATGCCGCCGCGCGAGCGACGAAGAGAGAGAGAGAGAGAGAGAGAGAGAGAGAGAGAGAGAGAGAGAGAGAGAGAAATAATCTCATGAACAAATATGAGAGTACAGGACAGAACAGGTGCAAAAACTGTTAAGTCACTGTACTTTATCGATAATCAATGATATAATAATTTCATACGCAATAACTATATACTTCATCTATGTGAAGTGCATTATATTGATGCTTCTGCTCGTAATTAAAATATCAAACAATCCGAAGGAAAAATGCCCGATAAGCTGCGACACCGAACGTGCTAGTTCGATACTCGGACACGTAATTGATAAAACTATATAAATCACGGACGGATTGAAAGCGAATACCCGGCCTTGTTAAGCCAACGTTTTTATCGTTCTTTAACGAGACGTTAATGAGCTGACTCGTGTCGCCCGACATGTAGCGCGATGAAGTTATTAATTAATCATTATAATTATTCGCTACGCCACCGCGAACACGAACAACGATGCTGTCAGCCTTTATTCAAGTCGAAGTTCAGCAAACTCGAATCACTCCTCAATCGAGAGAATAAAAAAATATCACCTCGTTTCGCAATAAAAATAATCGCAGCGTCATTGCGAACTATTAATTTAAACGACCTCTTCGAACGTCACTCGTATCGAAGTACCAATAATCCACGTGTTAGTGTATTGTGTCAAAATTAGGACTGGAACAGGCGGGCCTTCGACGATAATCGATGACGACCTTCGTTAGTCCGCTAATTAACATGTTTGAATTCTCTCGTTGTTATCAGGATCGCGAATAATCAGTAACACTATCGATATAGTATTCTTAAACACCTAAAATTTGATGCAAGCACGAATCGCATTGAAACATAACTCACGAGGCGAATGCTCACGTGTACGCACGAATGTTGCATAATGCATTGTGAGTTTAACAATACTGCAACGGCTGACAAATAATATATCGCGAAAGTTGTTGTATAATTTATGAAGCTCCGATACAAACAGTAGCAAGTTGTAAGTTATAATTATTCAGTTCACATTAGCATTAGCATTCCCACGTGATTATCTTGATGGAGTAGATCCCGTTGATTGCGATTCTAGCGATTAAACTGCGACAGAATGACAACGTACGATGAATTTTGCTTCAGCCGTGCGCGGCAACGTATGAGATGAATCGACGACTTTCTGCCTCAATTTATCCTCGGTCCAAATTGCAACTCCATTAGCTCTTCTTAATTAATCAAATCTGTGTTCCTTGATTCCCCTTTGAGAACTACGAAAAATATTGCCTTAACTAGAAGCAGATCTCTCTAATGGCCGGCTGTCAAAAGGAATTAATAAATGCACAAATCAAATGTGATTTTCCGATAATATGCGCATATTCCGGCAATATGCGAGATTTGTATTTCAATACGGAGTTGCGCAATACGGAATTCTTAGATAGATTGAATCCGAATCAAGCAAGATTTCATTGGAACTCGAATAGTTCGAAAACACATTTACCGTATCTCTAGTGATTCATGTTTGAGTTAAGCATTAAAGTAATTAATGAAGATCAACGTGACACTTCAACGTATTAATTTTTACATCACTAAGATCAATTGTAAATGACGAATAATGTCCATCGCGAAACGACTTCTAGACACTAACATTTTCTTTACCCTTTTCACTTTTGTTTTACTGTATTTTTTGTTTTTTTGTTTTTATTTATGCTTATTTATTTATCTTTCTTATTCACTCTTTTCTTCAAATATTATTTCATCCTCTTACATGCGACTTTATATTTTACGCTATAAAAATGTGATTTCTGGATAAAAAAAAACTGTGAAAAAAAGATTAATCGAACCAACTCAAATTGAATTGTTTGAGCCAACTCAATTTCGAGATTTTATGTGCTACATAAAAAATATAAAAAAAATTATGTCACAAACACATGAACAGTTCAGCTAACTCAGATTCGCTAACTCTTTTTACTATTGACCAAATTTAAAAATTTGGTCCTTCCTTTCGTCAGGTTGTTAATCTGATTCGCTTTTTATTTAGTTTCACTCGATTGCAGAGTTCGTACAACAAATTTTGCATGATCGTGACATGTGATTCTTCCCGCTCGATTTTTCGCGTTCAATGTAATACAGGAAATTATAGCGCTCCTGCAGCTTCCCGTAAGAAATCCGTATTGCGCTCTGAAACGACACAACTAAGCTTTCGGCCGAAATGTGTCGTAACGATGAAATTAAATAACTGTGTTATTATTACGTTAACACGATATAAACCGATTTCGAAGTTATGCCTGAGAACAATACAATTCTCACGACAGATCCATTCGCGCGTATTCGCCCACGCTGTCTTGCGCAATAAAAATAGTGAAATGGTCGTGTATATGGGCTTTCAGGGCAAATGAAGAAACAAGGCAAGGCGGAAAGTACAACTATATATAACGAGTAGATATAATAGACTGTGAAATTGCGACGTTCACAGTGCAACAAAGTGCGAGAGCGTTCGGATCTGTCGATAGAAAGAAATTATGTGATATATTTATTGCGCGGTGCAATTCGAATTCGAATTTTTCTCCGGCGTATCTGCGCGACATATCGTCTCAATCGATACCGTCGCACATCTCATTAAGTCACGTGTGAAAGTATTATTAATTATATTTGGAAAATCGCCTGGAAAACGGCCGATAAATAGCCAATGAAGCCAAATGAATGATATATGCGTCTCGATTTACATTTATTTACCATATCTTTGATAATTGAATTATTAGTTAAATAATGTGACGGTCACCGGTGACTGATACATTAAATCCCGCATGAAATGCATTACCCGTATAAATTACATTTGAAAAATGGTTTGTGTGGCCGATGGAGAGCTAATGGAATCAAGTGAATAATACACGCGACTCGACTTGTATTTATCTATCAAACTTTTGACGATTAAATTATTATTTCGAACACCGTAGTGCGACGGCACTACGATATCACTGTGCACAGAAAGAACGATTTAGTTGAATCTAACAAATGCTTATTTGGAATAGTCGAAATAAATTTTTTGATTGATCGAACAAAATTTTGTTCGACGCAACAAAAACATTTCGTTGGAACTAAGCTGCAACAAAATATTTTTATTGCGTCAAACAAAACTTCGTTCGATCAATCAAAAAATTTATTTGGACTATTCTAAATAAGCATTTGTTAAATTCAACTAAATCGTTCTCTCTGTGTGCACATTCATTAAGTTGCGCATAAAATACAACAAATTGCATTTGAAGAAACCGGCAGTACGGCCGACGGAGAGCTAGCGAGACATGAAAAAGAACATACACGCGCCTCGAATTGCATTGATTTACTGATGACGAATCAATCATCAGTTGAATCTTCAATAAGCGGTACAATAAGCGGAATTCAAGCGTGTCATGTGGTCCTCTCTCGTCATATTAATAGATCTTCATCGGTATTAATAATCGACGTAAGTGCGTCCACCGTGTCATTTCAAGCACTTTTTCGTCGTACATTCCACACGGTGCGTCGCATTTATCTCTGTCGCCGTTACCGTGATACAAGTGTCACCATAATAGCAGACCAGTCCCCCTTGCGCAACAAGCCGGCTAACAAGTGCGGCTCAACAGGAGCGTATCGCTAAGTGACTGTTAATCCATCCATCCACACGCGCAAAACCCGCGCGTCTTTGCCCCGAAATAAGTGCGGCTTGACCTATATTTTCAGCGATCGCATGCGATCAAGAGTCACGACTCCTCGCTGCCGTCATCATCGCCGTCATAGTCATGTCTGACGACGGCGATGACTTGGCGAATAATGAACTAATAGAACGATCGACATTGCACATACAGGTGTTTACGGCGCCATGTTACTTGGCCTTCGGTCGTCTGCTCAAGGTCCCGATGGTAGCCGTCATAGCCACCTCGCTCTACGACTGGCTCCACGAAATGATCGGCAATCCATACAATCCCGCCTTCATCCCGAGCCTATTTTCGACGTTCGATCAAGACATGAACTTCAAGGAGCGGCTCACCAACTTTCTCATCACGAATATATTATCTATACAAATCAACTACCAGGCGATCTTCCAGGTGGAATATGTGAGAAAGTACTTTGGTATCGAAGACACGTTCATCAGGGAGCTGTACAGCGATATATCTTTGTTTCTGGTGAACTCGCATCCCGCGTTGCAGGGAATCAGGCCGTACATGCCGGCCGTAATCGAGGTGGGCGGTTTGCACATCAAGGATGATGGTGGGCCATTGTCGCTGGTACGTTTGAACAAATTGGCTTTCTCAATTATCCGTAACGCGCGTATCCCGGAGTCTTCCTCGGCTGCAATGAAGTGTGACCGGAGAGCTGAGACGATTTATCGTTAGTATCGTTGCGAACGCAGTTCCATTTGTTTCTGCTCTTCGTTCGGCTGGAACGACGAAATGTCGGGACGTGCGATAGATGAAAAACGATCGCCGCTCCGTCGAGCGAAATATAAAATTCGTCGTTTAAATCGATATGATGTGTGGAGACGATCGAAACGGAGAGCTATGTGTGTGTGAGTGTTTCACGGCTAAAGATAAAAATTACAGATTAAAAATAAAAATTGTAAAAGATAGAAAACGTGCATTTTGATATTCAATAGAATATTTCTCTTTAGTCCGCGCACAGATAACAAATGGATTATTCAGAATCGTTTACAACACTACATAGGAATTTGATTAAAAATTACGAAAAACGTCGCATATCGTACTGGTACGTCAATAATCCATGTATAAATGGAGAATTTGTAGAATTAAAAATTATCATTTTACGATAATCTTCTTACGAAAAAATATCGTACATTTTTCGCGATTTATTCAAGGATTTTCTTTCGTCGGAAAGTCGTCGGAGGACACACTGGATTTTTATTCTCATTATAAAAGTTCCAAGCGACACCTGAGAGGTTCTGTTTTTCTTCGCGAAGAAAAAATTGACAAAGCGTCTATTAATTAAATTCCCTTTCCAAAGACTTTCTTGCTCTTTGAACGACGCACTTGAAGATCTCCACGACAGCCCGTTGTAGCCGGAGCTTAGGATTAATTGTCGCGATTTATTCATTCTAAAGAGACCTGTCTGCAGGAAGTGCAGAAATGGCTGGACGAAAGCAAGGACGGCTGCGTATACTTTACGTTCGGCTCCATGGTCAGGATCGAAACTTTCTCTAAGGAATTGATGGAAATATTCTACATGTCGTTCAAGAAGATTGCGCCGGTCCGCGTGTTGATGAAAGTTGCAAGGAAGGAAGATCTGCTGCCGGGATTGCCAGATAACGTGATGACGCAGTCGTGGTTCCCGCAAATCACCGTTCTCAGTACGTAATTACCGGGTCCGTTGCGCGGCCGAAGCGTCAAGGTGATAGATTCCCGCCCGTTTCTTATTCATCGTCATTAGAACGGTCATTTGTATGCCGTATGAATTGGCGCGTTTTCAGCGCGACGACATTTGCATATAAATCGAGCGACTTTACAAAAAATGTCACTCTTCGGCCGAGTTCTCGCGCGATGAAAATTCCAGGAAAATTTTAAGCTCTGTACTTATGGCGCGTCGACGAGTTTTCAAAAAAACATGACTGCGAATTAAGCGAAATCAACGTTGCATTTAGTCATTCACGAGGAAACTAGCGGACGCTGTATTTGCAGTCAGAGAGAAAACTTGAAACGCTTTCGCTGTGCTCGTGAGAGAAAAAGAAAAGGAGAATCGAGAGAAACGTCTTGAAAATTAATGCTTGGCGCGACGACGTCACGCGTCACCGAAGTTTATTCGCGAAGCAGCTGAATGTGAGTGAAGCCGGGGGAGAAAAAAACGAGAGGATCCCTTCGGTTTTAGATTGTTCTCCATTGTTTTTGCCGTCCCCCGCCCGATATATCCGCTGGACGTCCGACCGCATGACATTTTTGTCACGCTGTAAAAGCAATCCACCTCAGTTCTCAATTCTCGCAGAACACAAAAACATACGGGCTTTCATCACGCACGGCGGGCTCATGGGAACGCAGGAGGCGATCTCTTACGGAGTCCCCATGATCGGCATCCCCCTATTTGCCGATCAGCATGTCAATGTCCAGTCTTGCGTGAAGAAAAAGGTGGCTATCTCGCTAAACTCTGTACACGATGTCACCGAGGAGAAATTAACATCGGCACTGAATGCTATCCTGAAGGATCCCACTTATCGGTGAGTACCAGCGCCGAAGACGACGGCTGCCAGAAAACGTAGGCGTTATACACCCAGCTACTAATTGTGGCGTGTTCAGTGGAGATTAATGAAATCATAACATTCGTCGTGTCGTAAACATAAACATACAAAAGTGCACGCATGTTTGGGGTCTCGGTGAGCAGAGGGGTCTCGGGCAGGCACAAACATGTGGCGATTATCATAAAATGCGGTGACGTCGTAAGAGTTAATTGTATCTTCTCGTTACGTTCTCTATCTCCTTCTCCTCTTCCTTCCTTTCCCTTCTTATCCGCTGTCACTTTATTTTCGCTCGATCTAATAATACGTTCGTTCCTGGGTGTATTTTCCAATTTCGTTTCGTCTTCTCCCCCGTCATATTTCTACTCGTTTGACCTCACCGGCCGTGGGCGCTCATTCCCGCCGTCGGCGCGGCGAATGGAATAACTTTGTTTAGCGGGAGGAACGCGACTCCACTCTTGATGTAAGTTAATGCAGTAAAGTTGCACAACCGGCGGCCACATGTTAAAAGGACTTCAAAAGCCTGGAGGCTCGCTGCTTTAAATCTTATTAGCCCGCCAGTCGATCGATCCGCAACCGGTTGCGCCGCGTTACATATCACCGGACAAACAGAGCGTGCTCGCGCGCTATTGTAATCGAATCTTGCTTAACTCTCGGGTGCGTATCGCGCATCAGCTCCAGTCCCAATCGGTATGCACCTTAAATTCCGATCGACCGCTTGTCCTCGTCTGTACGTGAAAAGGCCGTGCGAGGCGCGCCGTGTGTGTTCCGCGCGCATAAGAGCGCGCGAATAAAGGGCGAGATGCTTTATCAGTGCAGAACGAGAATAGACGGCGGGCAAATGGAAAATCTAGCGGAAGATTCGACGTGCTTTCAACTCGAGCAGACACCGAGATCCCGCTCGGACAGACGACGGTCTCATGTTGACGAAAACACGTCGCGTCGGTCGTGAGCTCTTCTAGCCTTTCGACGGCGTTTTGCGTTTCGCGAGGCGAAACTGCTTTTTCCGAAACGATCCATCACCGTCACCGTTACTCATTTGGAGAAGTGGCTAATTACCGTTATCGTTACTCGCGATAAATAATACAGGTCCTTACGATATTTTCGCCACTTTTTCACCACTTCGGTCTCGCGAAGACCCTGCACGCCTCGCCCGTTCGTTTCATGCGGCTGGATTCAGCATGCGCGGGTAAAGGGGTTGCATTCGTTACCCTTTCGTTGACCGAAAAATGTAATTACGTCGCTGTTGTCGTTGCTTAACGAGAAAAGAAAATGGAGAAGAACTTGCCGTCGACACTTGACTGTCGAAAACATCGCTGAGAAAAAATAACATGTATAACGCTAATACGTTACTCCCCAATCCCGCGGCCGAATCAATCTCTGGCGAACTCATTTCTCTCTCTCTCTCTCTCTTGCTTGTTTTAGTGAGAACGTACAGAAACTCTCGAGATTGTTTCTCGATCGTCCCATGAGCGCTCTGGATACGGCTATATATTGGGTGGAATACGCTGTGAAATACGGTAACTTCCTTCAATCACCGGCCATGCGTCTCTCTTGGTGGCAACGTTACTTACTGGACGTTTACGCCTTCTTACTGCTCGTGGTTAGCGCGGTGCTTTTAACCGCGCTGTTTATTCTGTGGAAGATCAAGAGGCTCTTGCCCGAACCGCATGTGTACGCAAAGGACAGCGCGGCGGTTGAGTCGAAGAAGAACGAGTAGGCAGAACAGGGGCAGAACTCTTTTAGGAATTTTACACAATGACTTGCCGTTTGTGCGCTTCTCGCGAGAGAGAAACAATAGTCGGCAACGGATCGTTAGGGAGGAGAAAAATATTTTTCATTCTCTCTCTCTCTCTCTCTCTTTTAATAAAGTGTATTTTTAAGTAATTGTACGTATTATATAACAAACGTAATTTTTGCTGCGATCGTATTAATTTTCACGCGGAATAAAATTGCATTACTGTGTATACTTGAATAAGCGCGCGTATGTGCGTGTACGTGTGTCATGTCAATACACGCGCGTTGTAACGCTCTGATATTTTCATTTCAAGATATACATTGATATACAAGATATACATTGTGTTACTTGAAAATGCGCACGGACTGCAAAATCCGACTCGATCGATCGGAAGTGGCAGAAGTGCGCGTTGACAGATACCTGTAATCTGTTAGCGGAATTATGCAAATATCCGATTAGTTGCGACGCTCAATTGTAAGTGGCCGTTGTTGAGTGGCCAAATAAAGAAAGCGGGTCTGATAAAATCAATACGAAGGCAGTGCTCGTAGCGTCGGATATAAAGGCGCCATTCGTGCATTTTTGTCCGCGATTTTTGCCTCTTCCGTAGGAATCCGTTTTCTTATTCGTACACGTGAAATATACACATTTACATACGCATAAATATGTGCGTGTGTGTACTTTACCTGGCGGCAGCGTCGTGTTCATGTCTTTCAGCTTCCAGCATTCTTCCCTACGCTCCATGAGAATTCGATGGAGTTCTTGGTCTAACAGCGTGCTACCCACCGTTGTGTTTCCCGGCATCTGTTGAGCAAACGACGCGTGGAATATTAATGGGTTACAGTGGTAAAAGTGGAGGTAAGCAATTAATGTCTAGTACGCGCCGCGGCATAACTCGATGCTGTGTTACGTGCAACTACATGCATCCTTCACGATTCGCGACTAAAATGGGAACTCGAGTAGTCGAGTCGAGTTAATACTTCATGTTAACAGATAGTTGCGCATCTCCAGACTTCTTGCAGACTCTACAGGAGATATCGTCCGAAAATCGTCCGACGCGAGTCTGTATTTCAAAACGAAGGCATCTCTCTGGATTATATGTGTGATTATACAGATAAATTATAATTCGGTACAATTATGATGTTATTTTTATGACGGAAGCGAGAGGAAAATTAAGAGACAGTCCGTCGTCATGTGCAGGCTGAGCAAAACTGGCAGACCTGAAGCTAGAAATGCACGTTTTTCCCACTTTTTCTAGATGTAACATGGCGTTCGTACATCAGACGCTAAATGAAAAACAGACACTTTGACGGATGCGAAATCGGGTGCGAAATAAACCGACCTCGTCGGGTATGAAACACATTTTCGCTGAAATTGTAGATTTCAGCGTTGAATCAATTCGCGTTATATTCCCCCGACGCGCTCTACATATTTTCTACAGCTGCACGTTCGAACGTCATCACACCGCACGCACACGAGATATTCATTAAAACACTTGGCAATTTGCCGATTATTTCGTGAAAGTTATCGTCGCGCTGCAGTTTTGTCACATAAACCGCCGCTTCGAAACTTCTCGCCGGACGTACGCAAATCGACGGCGCGCCGTGATGAAATTTCAACGCATTATTGAGGAAATCGCTTCATTGGACTACGACACGACGCGTAATAACTTTATTGCATACAAATGAACGTTATTGCTGCCGGCGACGTGAAATAATGAAGTGAAGCGTTTTACGACAAAGCTCTTTTGCTACCACGCGCAGACACGCTAAGCGGGAAGACGAGAGGATTCGATTCTCGGATCGAGATATATTCACGAAAGTTCGTCGCACGCGAATAATCGTCACGCGTTCAATGCGCGACGTTAATAACTCCCGACGACGAAATTTATGTCGAACATGGCCTGGATATGACGCGAAAACATTAATTACAATGGAAAGCACACTCTTCTTTTTCTGTAATGATTTCTGACATTTCTGCGAAACATCATACGTTGGCTGCTGATAAAATATCGGAATTAACCGGCGGACACGGTGGAAGAGTTATATCGTAAAGCAGAGTAAATAAAGAAACGAAAAATTATATTGAGATAAGACGTGTGTGTGAAATAAAAATATGTATGTAGTATATTATATATTTTACGTTTATCTTGAAAGTATAATCTTATATACATATTATTAATCGTATCTCTAATGTGTTTGTAAATATAATACAATTTACGTTTTTCTTTCTCTCTCTTTCTCTCTCTCTCTCTCTCTCTCTCTCTCCCCCTCTCTCCCTCTCCTTGCGACGAATAGTGAAATTTATCTATATGACATTATTTATGCTTTCATTGTAACTCGAGACGCAATTAACATAAAAGTAACCACCAGCGACACGGCGTTTAGGTGCATCGTTGAATGGCGCACAGTTAACAAAAAATTATCCAGTTTCGCAGCAAGTAAGTTCGCTTCGCGTCCGTGTTGTTCAACCGACAATACTATCTCTTATTAATTAATTAATTAGATCGTATGATCATATTATGCGTTGTAACAACGGATTACATTGCGCATATTTGGCCATCAGATGAATCTGGATGAACAAAAGCTACGGATTATTTACGCGGAATTTACCCGATTCGAATGGATACCGTGGAACCAAGTTTACATAACGGATATTTATGCAAGGCGAGATGGGAGCCCTTTACAATCCAAATATTTATCACCAAGATCGTAACACACGGTAACATTTCACGGAATATCTGTCATCCAGCGGCTTCGCAAGTCGTCGATGTTTATCGAAAGCTATCGACAAAGGTTTATCTTTATCGCCTGAATCTCCCGAGGTGAAAACTCACTCGAAACGAGTGCAAATTCACTCGAGGCAATAGTGAAGATACTCGAAATCGCACTCGACAGTGCACATTTAATATCAATTTCGAGCGAACTCTCAGTTTATATGAATGAATGTTTCGATCGATTAGAGTGAATCGGTTTTTGCGAGCACATTTCTGGAGCACATCGGCGTCACTTTGTAATTTTGAGTGAAAATATTCGGAGTTTCGAAAATTTATCCCATATCGGTGAAAAACCACTCGAATTCGAGTAACTCGATGGTAACTCGTTCTTCCTGCTCGGCTGAAATTTCGCTACAAGAAAATTCCGGGAGTAGAGGAGAAATGTACAGTTTCTGATTGGTGATTTTTCCTCTATCGCTATACGTTTAATCACGGTCCGTCCGTCCGTCAAACTGTATTTAATCGTTATCAAGTCGCAGCCATTTCCAAACACGCTTCGACAAATGAGATAATTATTCACGAAAAATCGCTGTTTCTCATATCTCATAAACATGACACGGTAGTGTCAGCAAATCAAACAGCGCCGGCAAATAGCAGAGCGGCGTTAACACCCAATTAAAAGCGTCCGGGAGTCCGCTGCAATGGACTCGCGCGTTTAAATCCTGCTGAAATTTCTCACGCTATGTGCCGAACAGGCGCACCGCCTGCGTCCACAGGATTTCACATACGGTAATTCCCTGCATGTGAGCGAGACGAGGTATTTACGCAATGGGGGAAAGAAAAACACCGTACATCCTGTAATCGACGCAAAGTGAGAAATGAAACAACAAAAGAGAGATCATATTAATGATTTCGGAAGGAATGGTTGAAAAGGAGAAAAAACGGACTGAGAGAGAGAGAGAGAGAGAGAGAAAGAGAGAGAAAGAGAGAGAGAGAGAGAGAGAGAGAGAGAGAGAGAGAGAGAGAGAGACAGCGCGCAAAGCGCTCCCATGACAGTTAAAAGCGCTTCATTAGAAGTTTCCGATGTCGTCTTCGTCGTTTAGCGAATCGGTCAAGTGCAAGAGTTGAGACACTCGTAATTATAACGTACAAGCCTCGTTGCGTTATATTTCACTACAGGGTAAAAACGGACGTCATCGGACTTCGGACTTTGATAAACGAGCGCATGAAATGCGCGCAGCTGCGCTGCGTGATCGGCGGAAATGCACGCGTGATAGGCGGAAACCAAAGGGAAATGAAAATAAAATCGAACGGAATTAAAACAGAAAGAAACTGGATTTCAATTGCGGAGCGGACTTTTCCATTTTAACATCGGCCCACCTGCTCCTATTAACTCAATGCTCCGACGTAATCAAACTCTTTTGGACAAAAGAGAGAGAGTGAGAGAGTGAGAGAGAGAGAGAGAGAGAGAGAGAGAGAGAGAGAAAGAGAGAGAGAGAGAGAGAGAGAAAATATAACCTTAACCCACATATTCCAATGCGCAGCACATTCCGCGCGAAATGCCAATCAATAAGTTTTCTGTGCTTGAATTTCGAATTCCGTATTTTGCAGTAAATTAGCGAGCAAAAATCAAACGAGCATGCTTAATTACGAGCGTTTTGTTCCTGTTCTCGCGACATATGCAGCGTTAAATGCCGCCATTCGCCCACTCCGCTCTCTTTTTTTTGCCGCCGTTGTTATCATTATCGTTACATTACATTATGCAGGAAATAATTAAAACAATTATAAAATAAAAAAAAAATTGGGCATTTGACTGCGGCAGCGTCGAGTAACGCGTCGGGAAACGCGTCTTTCGATACTTCGGAATAAACATGACGCCGTTGGAGAAATGAATTAAATCGAGAGATTCGCGAATACGTGATAATTCGTACGAGCACAATAAATTCTAACAAATAGCAAATGTCGCGGCACATGTGTAGCGTACAGAGAAGCAGCACGCTCAGGTGTTTGCAAGAGTCACGCTTTTAGCTTACACATCAATGTTATCTAAGTTTATGAATAACGCGCAATGTATCGTGCGCATGAGTACGTGAGCAGCGGACATTATGAACTTGCAGAAATTGACTGTTGCTTTTAGCGTCGAACGTGCTTGTAATATTGTGTACATATATATGAGACGTACAAACGTGAACTTGCTATCGAAAAACTTCGCGAAACCGGCTGCGTTCTTTTCTAAATTCACGACGTTCGTGGCGGACAAGTTTTGATCACTTTTACGGAAAATCGCGTGGAAAAGCGAGAATCTTGTTGGTAGGGCGAGTTGCCTCATTGTCGCGAGGAGGAATTGCATATTTTGACAGCTTCTGTGTCAGAGGGGAGCAAAATAATACAATAATGTTAATATCTAAATCTAAAGTGTGGAATTAATCAATGAGTGAGCAAATGTAATGGTGTTATCGAGTGTTTTGCCGGCTGAAAAGCATGTGATCGATAACATATGTATGTGCCACGCTGTCGCGCGCTCATAATAGCTCTTGACGTGCCGGTTAACAAATCGGGAGACGTCGCGCGTGATTTCTGATTTTCCGGTTCGGTCAGAGTGTACATGACGTACGTTATATTACATCGCACACGCGCAATTATCATCCTAGCATCATTTGCGGCAGCAGTAGCATCTTTGAATTTTGAAGGTAATTATCGCTCTTTACTTCCACTGATTTAAAAGTATATTATTTTGAATCTTTATACTTCTGATATGCTGAAGTTTCTCGATGCAACAGTATTCTTGTGTTATATGTGTGTGTGTGTGTGTGTGTGTGTGTGTGTGTGTTAATAAAAAAAAATATATATTTATATTATTATATGTTATAATATGTATTATATTATAACACAATATATCCTTTCAGTATCCAGCTTCAGTATTTATATTCTTGGTATATTTACATTTCTCCCTACTACCTAATGCTTACTTATCAGAAAACACATGTCTTCCGTGTGACATGTTTTGCTTCAGGTCTGATAGTATTTGTGATCACACGGATACGGGCACTGTACGGGAGGATCCGGCTCGGGTCGAGAGCAGAGTTGGTTCGAAGGGAAAATTTATAGGCTTCTCATATTCCTGTACTTAATCCTTTACACGATCGGAAACTGGGGCATAGGTATCCCAGCAAAAATCATTGAGTTACAGCGATCGTTAAAGATTAACATGCTCGTGTCCGTGCATTTTTCTCCACATTTTTCTCGGTAAGCCATTAATCCTTATATCCAGTCAACGATTCTATATTTTTTTACTGCAGATCTACGGCAGAACGTAATCGATCTTAAATTCCTGATATTGCATTGAAAAACAAAGATTTACGATAACGAGCTTATTGATGGTGGATCATTATGAAAATCAATGTGATTCGCTTAATTTCTTTAAATTTTTACGTGTACACTGTCAGAAAGAAATATTTAATGTTAAACAAAAATCTCATTACCGAAGAAAATGCAACCGGTCGCGAAACGAGATATTTCCTTTTCCTCCTCTCAACTTTACTGGACGTAACGCGGTTCGCGGTTTGTTTACACGCGACTCGCGAGTGCATTTCCGATATGTCGAAGTTAATCGTACTTTTCGTTAAATTATTCAATGCCGTTAATGTTAATAATATATGTGACCGCGAGTGCAGTATAGTGAAGTGAAGTGAATTGAAGCGAAGTGAAGTGAAGTGTAGTGAAAAAAGTGAAGTAAAGTGAATGAAATGCGATCCACTTGAAGCGGCAACTGGCGACTCTACGGAAGCTGGATGCTGAAGACTCGCAAATCTGGACTTGGACTTGAACGTCGCGGGATCAACACAATGGTGGCAATTTAACTTTTTACGGTTAGTAATTATTTTCAAAGTGTTGTGCGGTGTACGTGTGTATGTAGGTCTGTAATTATTTTCAAGTTGTCCAGTCACTCTGAACATAGGAGCGCAAAGGCTTGAATGCTCAAGAAACATTATATTACCTAGTGCACGAGATATTTATACCAAATCGCATTGATTGCCGATGGGAGAAGTCGCCTCGCGAGAATTGTGTACCCACGTCAGCGTGATATTATTATATTTAAAAAAGACTTGATCAAATGGCGCGTACTAACGCGCGCGTTGCTGGTATCTAGTGTTACAATGTAATAAATGAATTTTATATCCCAAACTTCCGAAAATCTGATCTTACACATACACATACGTGCGAGATGAGGAAAATTTGACGTATACTATTGTTCCGATCGGCGAGACACGTGCATAAATAGTTATTTAGCGCTTCCCACTGACTGTAGTTTGCTTCACAAGTGAATTAAATTTCAATTTCAAATCCCCTATGATATGCATGCCTTGAGCAAAATTATTGCGATTTCAGACGGATTTCCAGCGTAATAATTTCTTACGTTGGTACACGAACGTTTCATGCTTCCTGAAGAAAGAAATGAAAATTTTGAAGTAATTTCCTTTCTCTTCAATTTGTATGCAGATTAAAACGTAGATCTTTTTGCGGGCAATAAAAAAGATACAACGAAACAACGTGAATCGAGTTAACCAAACACAATTTCGAGGTTGTACATAGCTTCCATTTAACTGACGAATTTCAGCAAAATTTTCATCAATTCTCTTAATCTCGTTTATATACGAAGCAAATTTCAAATTTAGTTTAACACGGTGACACATAAAGCTGATCAAACACGTTACGAGTCATATTTGTTGTCTGATTCACACAATCTTTTACCGACGATAAAATTAACGAAACAAAGTTAAAACTATGATTATTTTTAATTGCTCGTATTTTGCACGATTTTTTCAGTAATTCGCTAGTTGGAAAAATATCTGTATCGTACACACAATTACGTTTTAGTTCTGCTTACCTTTTACCGCTGACTAAATTTTGCACTTTGAGATTCCTACGTGAGATTGTTGACTTGACCCGGTACTTGCTTGATTTCACTCGGTTACAACAAACTCACGTAATCCTGAAACTTGATTCTTCTTACCCGATTTGTTTCTCTTTCCCATTGTAGATCTAACCCCGAGTAATCACATTACAACTCGCGATACAGGAGAATCGCATTACGAACGAACGTTATTTTCCGCGATACGACGGCTGTGTTGTCAACACGACCGAGTAGCGTAGTTCATCTGCGTAGTTTTCGAACGCGATCATTACACACCGCAACGTTGTCGGCGCGGTTCACGGTCTAGACACTTTGTTTTTTAGCGTGCGAACCACGAGCAGTTGTACATGCGTCAGTATGTAATTTGCATAACAAATAACACAGTTCGTGGGAGAGATAAAATAAATAATTGCCCGGCCGAGACGCGACCGCCGGAGAAGGTGATACAAGTGTAATGACAGTTTGACGCAGTCGATAACTTGACTTCCGTTATTGTCCAAGGAAACGTCAAATCTATCTTCGTTTCTCTCCTGCCTCACTCCTATCTCACCGCTTGCTCTTGTCGATCGTTTTCGAGATCTCGTTGTCACGTTATTGATTGATGAGTGCCATCGATACGAAGGCTCACGAGAGGATTCCACCTCTGAGAATGATAGAAGACGCGGAATATCGGTTAATCGACCGTGTCCAGCCGATTTGATACGTTAGGGCGGACACATCGATATAACGCGTTTCTATTTCTATCTTCATTATATCACCGGGCCGGCGATTCGTCAAGAGAAAAAAATGAGAGAGAGAGAGAGGGAGAGAGAAGGAATAGGAAAAAATTACACACCGGGTACAAGCGGACAAAGGGGTGGAAACAACAAGAGCGTGTAATTCCGCTAAAGACCTAATAATGCGCCAGTTCAATCGCGTTCGTTTCCGACGAACGGAGGTCTTCCGGCCTCCGCGGAGAAGCAATTTATTCATCGGCATAAACAAATTGGAAAATTCAGCCGGGCGCGCCAGTCCCAGGCCGAAAGAAATTTTAATTACGCCTTTTAAACGTTGACACGCCGCGCTTCAGCGCGACACACGTGTGTTTTATGAATGTTTAATTTGACGAATTTTCGCTGCACGTGGCGCGGTGTGTGTGTGCAAAGTGACAAAGAATCGAGAGCGATATTAAACATTCGGAGAAAGAATGCGGGAACAAAGAGAGCGCGGTGTGAGTAAATTGCTTAAATTAACGAGGCGCAAAATATCCACGAAAAAGCCTTGATTCATATAAAGCGTATGAAGGCGCACGGTCGACGATGACGATGACGACGACGACGAGAACGCTTCTTTTCGTTTACGCGAATGTCGGTCGACGAAACTTGAGGATTTTCAAGTGCTCCTTTGAATATTTCATGCGTGAGCGCAGAGCGTAGTCGCTGTGAGAAATACGATCGTTATTCGAAATGAGCACACACTGCACCAAGACTTATTTGCGAAACGTATGCTAAAAGGAGCTCAAAGGTTCGACAAAACTTCTCCGATGACAGGCGTCTCGTCCGCCAGAGTTGCTTTCTCGCGAACTTCGACTCGCGATACGCGCGCTGAAATTCGCATCAAATTTCCCATAAAAATTTCCCCCCAGCCCCTTCTTCTTCGGCGATGAAACGCGGCGGGAGTTGCGGTGGTTTCGCCGAAAGTTATAAAGATCGGCAGTAAATGCAAAATACTCGTGTCTTCGGGGAGAAACCTGCCGGCGAAGTTCTTGCGCAATTTCCACATAGACGCGAAGAAGCGAGCGGAACAAAAGCGTGCGCGCGACGGGACGGAACAAACGAATTCCATAGTTCTTAATTTGCCCGCTACAACGGACGAAGAAATATATTCGCGCAGCCCTCCCCGCACGTTTTTTTTTGTCTTCGTCTTTTGTCGAGACACTATTGTCGAGACCGAAGACGACAAAGAACGTTGCGTTGCGGTGAGGTTTTTTAATTGATTTATATGAAAATGAGATGACGGCAACACCTTTCGCGTTGCGACGTTTCCTCTGCTTCGCGCGAAATCATAAAGCGAGCGGAGGGCGAAACGTTTTTTACTCACTCTACATGTCATGAGCAGGTGAAATGATAGTATAGCGCCCCTTACCTCGCTCTGCGTTTCCATGATTGGCGTTATTGGCAAGTTATAAGGATGGAGTGTATATACCGCGGGGACATCACGTCCGTAGCACACCAGATCTGAAACAAGAGAAATTACGGACTAGATGTGAGGAAGCTCTCAATAGAACTGAAGGCAAAAAATATGCTTTAAAAAAAGAAATTAATCTAGATATCGCGCGGGATGCATAATACGCGTATGTGTATGCGTATAAAGTATTTTAATATCAGTGATCGCCGTTTATAAGAGCATTCGCGAGATTCCAAACGGACGTGAATCCCAGCCGCTCGTGTATCTCGTTCGAATGAATAAAACGCCACTCGAAAGAGGAGCAGCGAGGATTTTTCTTCATTCGCTCCTTTCTCCCTTCGACCTGCCTTTACACCGGGTACTCACTCCCGTTTCACTCGAAATTGCGGGAGTCGTGCGATACGCAATGAAAAATAAATGTAAAGGTAAATGGGGCGAGAAGGTGCGCCTAATGACGTTGGACTCGAGTGATAAATGTAGCGCGATAGACGCGATCTACGGAAAAAGAACGTAACGCTACGGTTACGTAACGTCACGCTCGTGGATTTATTTTGAGAGGGTCGCGATACCTCGCGCGAGATATTTTTTTCGGCTTCAATGCACGCGCGCCGCCGGACGATCCGTCCTAATTTTCACTCGGGTTACAAAACCGCCCGGATATTTTCGCGTCCAATTTCACGCCCCCGCAACTATTCCCATTTACTCCAGTTCGTCGTGTCTACGGAACAGACCGATTCAATTTCCATTCCATTAAGATCAGCAGGTGGCGGTACTTTCTCGCAGAATGAAACTAATCGCAAGTCTTCGGTAGAACCATTCTCAACGATCTACCGCGAAGGTCAGGTATGGGTCTGATAAGCTCGGCTGTCAATCAGGGAGAGAAAGAGAGAAAGAGAGAGGGACTGGGCGCTCCTTCCAATCTCTAGTCAACCATCTAACGATTGAAACTTATAGAACTCGCGAATGAGACACGACATCCGTCAAGAAGTTCGTTGCACTCCTCGGAAGAATTGACAAAGTCTAACAGCTGATATCAATTCGGAACACGCGACTCGGTCTACTAAACTTCGCGAAGGAAAGTTAATTGTTATCAAAATGGTTATTATGAAAGTCGGTTATTTTCGGTTATTATCAAAGTCGGTTATTTTCGGTTATTATCAAAGTAGCACGTACATCTCACAAGATATCTCGTGTTTAGCAAAATATATTTCGAAGTCACGAGATATCTGTTCACTTTGCGCACTTTGTCATAACTGGTAAATAATAACGTGCTGATGTGAAATTATTTGATTCGTTTGCTTATATATAGTATACACAAATTTCTACTTAAAATAATGAAATGTTTTTCGTTGTTCCGATTATTATAATAATATCATCGTTATATCGTTATATCGCGTGATTCTACGTAAAAAAAAGAAAAAAAAACATCAGCAGTCAGCGACCGCGTATTTCAGTTATTCGTATATTGAAAATTGTACATTGAAATTAAATTCCATGTAATTGAATACTTTTAATCATCCGCGAGTATTAAAGCGATTATAGCTATCGTGACGATTATTTCTAATTTATCACACGGCAAAAAGAGCGCCGATTTTTCCTCTTTTCACATTCATATTTCACACAAATTCTGCACACAATTCTTCACACAATATATATCCTTTAATTGGCGCAAGTGTTATATACATTTATCGTGACTTTTGTGATTCTATTACTTCGAGATTTTATTTAGTACAAATTTTATTATACAGTATGTAGGTTATCGACATATATCACGCACACATACATACAATAACAGAAACTTTACGACAACCTGTTACAAAAGAATTCCGAAATAAATGTGTACCGTCGCGCGAAAAAAGAGTAGCATTCCTGCGTGGAGGAAATCTGCCACAGGCGTGTATATAGATGTACATAGACGCAGGTCTTGGCAGCAGGATAAAAGGACCGAGCGCCGTATGAAACGCGCCCACGTAGAATGCAATCGATGAACGTAAAAATAAAAATTAACACCGGGTGGTCTTGCGCCGATTTATTTTGCTTTGTCGTTTCAAGCATTTAAGAAAATACCTCCGAAGACGATTTTACCAAATATTTTACCAAATATATGAGGTCTGTTCGGAAGGTCCCGAAGGTACTTTTTAAACAGACCTCATATATTGTACATATGCATGTGTGTGCGCACGCGTGCGAATACATACGCATGCCATTTTGACGGGACATATTTCGAACGCATACGACGACCTTCCTGGAGAATATATTTTTAGTCGCGACACTCTCCCGCATATATTTCGCTCGCGTTCTCAAGCAGTCGGTGCTGTTTTGTTTTAGCGTCGTACACCGTAGCGCGCGAGAAATTGTGGCTTTTCTCGCGTTATCTGGCACTTGGCCAACACGCCCACGCATTAACGATCGACCACGACTTTCCGACGATCTATCTAACCGGCGTATCAACATCCTGTATCCGTGATAATCGCGTATTTCCGAAGGAGATGCGCGCGAGTCGGACCGACAGCTCGCTCATTGCATCGCCGCGAAGCCTTAAAATCCTGCTCGTTCAATCGTTATTAAATTAGCGGCCACTGAACCTTTAATTAATTGCAGATGCAGGACGAACGATATAGCACGATGCAGCAATTCGTTTTTGATTGGCGAAGCGTTTGAAATTTAAATTATTCTGTCTCAACTCGTTTTACCCACACACCCTGCAGGAGAGAATATATAATATTAGAGGAGAACACGGGAACAGGAGATGTCTATTATGCCTACACTGTGTGGAATTGGACGTTTAACCTTATACTTATTCAGTGATTGCGGTTTGAATTATACGCGAGAGTGCTATCGATGCAATCAGAGAGCGATAGAGATCCAAGTTACACTGGGCAAAACTGCGAACTTTGCATTTCTCTGAAAAGCTTGCTCCCTAAATTTCTTTGAGCGACATTCCGCTCTTAAACAATGACGTGACAACCGAGCCACTCGAATGACTTTCCGTTGGCTCTTCGAATGACTCGATGTGTTCCATACCGCTGCAGGAACAGGAAAATTTATCCTGGTTGATTGAAACATTTACTCGTGAAGAATAATCCCCTGTAAGCTGCTGAGCGGAAGCTTCACTCTCGCGATTCCGAGTGACGATATTTTCACTGCGAGTCGCTCGTTTTGAGCGAGGCTCACTTCACTCCAGGAAATTTAGACAGTATCTCACTTGGTACGTATTTAACTTACTCCATGAGCGTCTCGTTACACCTAGAATGCTTTGTGTGCGAAACTACGAATTAAAATCGAGCGGAGGTCGCCGTGCGCAAAGGGAAAGGAGAAAAGAAACGAATGAGGAAACGAGTGGTCCCTCGGCAAGAAATTTCACAGGATCCGCTTCCATTATCTCCCCGCTGGTCGACGGCTTCAGCAACGCCGGCAAATCTCACGGCCGCCGGCGCATTTGGCGGCATGTATCTGTGAAAATAGAATTTACGACGATGGCAGTTAGCCAACAAATCATTCCAGCCTAAGCGCACGGTCTAACGCGGTATCGATCTCTCTGTCTGGCTCTAAGTCCGCGAACTCGTAAACACACAAATTAATTTAGACACGCCGTTAAATCGCTTGAAAGCCTGCAGCCAGCGGCGGAGCGCGTACGCGAGCGGCCGCTAAAAGCGCGTTATTTTGCGCGGGACTCGAGAGGTCTCAAGTCGTCTCGATCTGCATAAAGCCTTACTGGCAGCAGGAGGAACTTCGCCTCCGATGGCTCGCCATTCACGAGCTACCGTCGAAACGGGTCACAGCTGTGTTCGCTGTCGTCATGGTTATCCGTATTTGACAAACGGTGTCACTGACGGCTGCGCGCGCGACGCGCGAGGCCTTCCTCGCGCCTCGTCCTCATCTCGCGCCACACACCACTACTCTACTCGTCGTCTTGTCGCGGCTGGTCGCTAAAAGTAGCGCGCGTAGTTTACGGATATTTGCATGATGTCTCGCGGGCCTGGGGTGTCCTTTTAGCGGCGGACATCCGCCGCCGGTAAGTGAGAGAAACGACCGGTTGCTCGCGACTTCGCCGAAGACACTCGAGATCGTGAGTCGGGGACCTCGAGGGCGACCTCGAGGGCGTAAACACGATGAACGAGGAGACAGCGCTCGCACCCGCGCCCGCAGCTTGCACTTTGACTGCGTGTTACTTCATGGAACTCCCATACAATTGATCTTAAGTAAAGTGAAATTTAATTTCTCAGCCGAGCTCGCGCGCACCCCCTCCACCCTCTCGCCGTCCCGAAGAAAGAAACAGAGGAAAGAAGAAGGAAGGAGGCGCGCTGAGAGAGAAACCGCGCTTAGGGCGGAGAATTAAAAACTTACAAACAAGCTGCAGTCTCCTACGGCAAGCGCTCGCTCGTCGGGGAGGTTCAGCTCCAAGTTGCTCTCGCGGAGCATCTGCTGTTGCAACAATATGCAGTATAACCAGGAAACTCCCTAACAATATGCCGCGAAAGCTAGTTGTAATCGAACGTACATGGCTAACCGCACCGCAACGAGATCCTTTGAATGACAATTACTAGCCAGAGCTCCCTTCGGCACTTTGCTGACGGGAGGCAGAGACAGAGAGGATGAGAGAGAGAGAGAGAGAGAGAGAGAGAGAGAGGAGCGTTCCTGCGTTATTCACTACCGTCCCGCAATTACTTCGAGTTGCCCATGTACCAAGGAAAGGATAGATACCTCCCGTTCCTTCGCTCCGAACGGAGAGGATTGCCTGAGAAAATGGCGATGCCGTTAATGCGTCGCGCTGTTTCGCCCGAGTCCTCCCGCGAAATTAATTTTTTGCCTCGCTATATTAGGAATTATGCAAATTACATGTGCGAACCGCTCGAGTTATGCACACCTGGCGCGTACAAATGGCGGAGTCGGGGGAAATAGTGCCTGCAGGATGATAGTCGTGATAATCGGATTAATTGCGCCGGAGCTTGCGACTGAAATATCTCTCGCCGTTGAAATTAGAGACGGCCGAGTGTCGACGATGCGGTACCATTCTTTGTCCTGCGACCAAATTCGGAATAATCGTCGC